CTCTAAAACAGTACCCCCCCCCCAAAAAAAAAAAGCCAGGCGTTGGTGGCACACGCCTTAATCCCAGCACTTGGGAGGCAGAGGCAGGCGGATCTCTGTGAGATCGAGGCCAGCCAGGTCTCCAAAGCGAGTGCCAGGATAGGCTCCATCGCCACACAGAGAAACCCTGTCTCAAAAAACCAAACACAAAACTTTTTACTAATTCTTTAGGGCTATTTTTTGGAGACAGGATCTCAACGAAGCCTGGGCTTGCCTCAAACTCATTGTGAAACTGAGGCTGACTTTGAACTCCTTATTAACTGCCTCCATTTCCATGTGTTGGGATTATGATACAGATAACATTCCTGACTTTATAATAAAGTACCTTTGCAAGCCTCAAACTCTTCTGGACTTTTAACTCCTCTCTTAAACTGGAATAGGAATCTACACCCTCCTTTTGTATGCTCCCTCCCCCTATTTCCAAGTCAGTTTCTCTGTGCAGCTCTGGCTGTCCTAGAACTCACTCTGGAGACCAGGCTGGCCTTGAACTCACAGAGATCTGCCTGCCTCTGCCTCCTGAGTGCTGGGATTAAAGGTGTGTGCCACCACTATATTTTTCGTGTGCCTCTTTTAAAGTCGGAGCTCACAGAGAGTTGCAAGTGCAGATGCACTGACACAGCTGGCTTCCCGTTCCTCAAGCGGGATTGCTTGTGATTGTCAGGAGACACTACAGGGAACCAGAAGCGCTATTACAGAGCAAATACTAGAGCTCAGACTCTAAAACCACCTCATGAATGAAATGCTTTGATATTCCCTCTGAACTTCTAGGGGCCAATATAAAATACCAATAAAAATCATGTTACAAAAAAGGCAACATTAGAAATACATGCAGGTTATTACAGGAGAATTGTTTTAAAAAGGAGAGGGATAAAGAAAACAATGTTTAGCTGGTCTGTGGGAGGCACAGGCAGGTGCCTCTATGAGTTTAAGACCAGCCTCGTCTATAGAGGGAGTTCCGGGACAGCCAGGGCTGTTACACAGAGAAATATGCCTCAATGACCCCCCACCCCAAAAAAAGGGGTGAAAAAAAAAGTAAAACACCATGTTTGTTTTACCTCATCAAGATCTTTTGTCTCTCTTCCCAGTTCATCATCATCTTCATCAGAATCGAGCTCTGGTCCAATATAATTCCCAAATTCATCATACAAGTCAGTATCCATGATGCTAAAATTCAAGAAGAGTCGAGTCAGGATCTGTAAGTCCTGCAAGCCTGCATCACACCCTGTCTCCTCACACACCATCCCTTCAGGAGCTGCCTTGGGACTAACCCATCTAGTGAACAATCTCCCCAGAGTCCAGTACTTTCTCCACTTTGCTGCCCTACTCATTTTAAATATTCACACACCCCACCCTCATCACTTTATTTACTTAGGGACAAGGCCTTTTGTTGCCCAAACTGGCCTCAAACTCTATAGCCCACATTGGTCTTGAACTCCTGATCCTACTGCCTTAGCCTCCTAAGTGCTTCGATAACAAACTTATGCCCCATGCCTAGCTTTGTTTTATTTATTTAAAATTTTTTATTTTCTGTGTGTAGGTGTTTTGCCTGCATGCATGTCTTTATACCACATTCCTAGACATGAAGCCCACGTAAACCAGGAGAGGATGTCACCTCCCTTGAAACTGAAATTATAGACTGGGTGTAAGCTAACATGTGGATAGGGAGAATCGAACCTGGGTCCTTTGAAAGGGCAGCCAGTACTCTTAACCACTGAACCATCTCTCCATTCCCACCTGGCTTTCTTTTTAATTTTAAAGGCATGCAGGCTCTCACTGTTACCCAAGCTAGCCTTGAACTCCAAATCCTTCTGCCTCTGCCTTCCAAGCTGACATAACAGGTATACAACTCATGCCCAGTCCACCACCACCACCCCATCTAAATTTATTTAATGAATTAAATTTATGCGTGTGTGCATGTCTGTGTGTGTCTATGCATGAGTGCATGCACATGTACATGTACCAAGGACTGTCCTTTGGGGAACACAAAGATTGTCACATGGGTACTAGAATCTGACCTCTAGTCTTCTTGAATGCCTAGCAAGTGCTCTTTAACTGCTGAGCCTTTCCCCAGCCTCTCACTTCCTTTTTTAATGATAATTCTCAAAATATCACAATACAACCATCAAAATCAGAAAATTAATTCAGACAGGCTATTCTATCTAATACACAGGCCCCACCAAGTTTGACAAACTGTTTCAAAACTGAACTGCATAGCCAAGGACACAAACCAGGATCATATGCTTGCATTGAGGCAGCTTTATTCTTTTAATCTACAACAGTTTTTTAGTCTTGGTTTTTATGACTTGACACTTTTGGAGATTACAAACCCATGATTTTGTAGAATGTCCCTTCATGTGCATTTGCCTGCCTATTACACTCAGGTTACCCATCCAGAACAAGGATATCACACAGGGATGGTGTGCTCTTTTTGGTACATAATTTCAACTCGTTCTTATTGGTGCTAACTTTGATCCCTCAATTAAGGTGACAGCTGACAGGTTTTTCATTATAAAATTACTCATTTTCCTTGTAATGAATAAGAACTGTGGTTTTGCCAGGCGTTGTTGGTGCACGCCTTAAGTCCAAGCACTCGGGAGGCAGAGGCAGGAAGATCTCTGTGAGTTCAAGACCAGCCTGGTCTACAGAGCGAGTTCCAGGGCAGCCTCCAAAGCCACAGAGAAACCCTGTCTCAAAAAAACAAAAACAAAAACTGTGGGTTTTTTCCTCACATCAATTATTGAAATGCTGTTCAAAAGAATAGTTTAAATCTCACAGCCTTCAAGTTTCCCTAGACCTCCAATGTCTCATTTCTCCTTGACATTAGAACCTTTTGCACGTTTATCAGTATTTCCTATCCCAAATGCTATTTACCTATTATTCTCACCAACAACTCTGCATTTTGCAAGCAACAAAAACCAGAGTATGGGAAAGCACTGGCCTCAGGGGTTAAAGACCTCAATTCATCCCTTAACCTCATCCCTAACAATGATGTAACTCAGAGAAGTTACTTTACCTCTCTATGTATTTCTTCAAGTAGAAAAATGGAGTGGATAATCATGGCATAAAACCTTTTAAAGGCACCAAGGAGATGGCTCAGTGGGTAAAAGCCCTTGCTATGCAACCTGAGTTCAATCTCAGCCTGGTCTCCAGATCGAGTGCCAGGATAGGCTCCAAAGCTACACGGAGAAACTCTGTCTCAAAAAAACCAAAAAGAAAAAAGAAAAAAAGAAAGAAAGAAACAACAGCTGGGTGATGATGGCGGTGCACAACTTTAATCCCAGCACTTGGAAGGCAAAAGCAAGTAGATCTCTGAGTTCAAGGCCAACCTGGTCTACACAGCAAGTTCAAGGATGACCAGGGCTACACAAAGAAACCCTGTCTCGAAAAAACCAAACCAAACAACAATCAATGTTGGTCAGCATAAGATGTGAACATCCCTGAGTACGAGAATCCCCGAGCTCCTTTGTGCTCACCTGCCAGTACCCCAGACAGCACTCTGCACAAATAGTAACTTTAATGTTAACTGAACGGAATGTTTAGGTTTGAAATTCTGGTATTTCTTGTAGTAGACTGAATACCTCAAGGAGAGGAGCAAAATTGGAGTGCTAATCACTGGTAATTAAATGTAAATCATTATGAAAACTGATTACATGTACCACACATGTTCATTTCATTCTCCCAAGCCTCTCATCAAGTGATGGCACAAACTTTTACAGAAAGTTACTTATTCAACAAGCCAGGCCCATTTCTGCCCCAGAATCATGGTACTTGTCACTCTGGCTGTTTATACCTCGTTAACTCATTTAACTCAAGTTTCTCCTTCAATATCACCTATCTATCACTCTAAACACTCACCCATATACACCTGCCAGGCCCCCCTTACACTGAGTTGTGTGTTAAGGTGCTTAGGATCGAATCCTGGGCCTCACACTCTACCAAACACTCAACCACTTAGCTATATTCCCCTGCCAAGTAACAAAGCTTGAACAATACTTGGGGAACAGGTGTGTACATTTGCTACTGATAAACGTTAATAATAAAACCGAAGCAAAAAAAAATGCATAGCATAAAATAGGCCCTCAACAAGTTTTGTTGGGTTTTGGGTTTTTTGGGGAAGGGGGGTGAATTAATGACGTATTTAGTTAAGCAAAGCTAGTTTCTAAATACTAAACCTGCATCCTCCCGCTACAACGCAGATTCTCAAAGGAACGCTGAAGCTTTTCTGTCACGACTTAGCCTAGGCTGGTCTTGAACCTGCAGCAATCTTCCTGCCTCGATCTCCAGAGCGGGAGAAACAGGCATTAGCCACCACAGCCTGCTCGGTGCCGAATATTTTGAAGATCGAGAAGGCTTAGAGGTGAAGGAGTCACCGACAGAAGGGGGAGTGGCGGGGGTCTGGGTCGACAGAGCGCCACCTCTACCTAGGGACAGGATTTTAACCACTCAGGGTATCGAGGAAAGCCCGGAATCGTCGCTGTGAGCGTGTGTTGGGGGGGGGGGGGGTATCTTTCATTCCCTTTCCCACTCCAGGCCTCAATTTACCCGTGTGAAGCGAAAGGGATAAACACTATATAAATCGCCTCTTCCCAAGCCCATGTTCTCTCGTGTCCCAACCTCCCAGAGCTCCCTTCCCGGGCCAGCTCACCCGCCGCCTGCTCAACCGAGCACTCCAGGAATGCTGACCTCGGAGACAGAAACGGGAAGGACCAAGTTGTCGGTCCTCAAAACAAAGCGTGAATTGCCCCAAAGAAAAGCAAGGCCGGAGGATTCACGAATCTGATCAGGCGCCTTGGGACACCCTGAAACGGAGGGCCTTCGGGCGGGTCACGTGGGCGGGCTAGTGGCGCCGTTGCTAGGCGACTGCCGCTGTTGGGAGGGCGATACGCAGGCGTTCTAACAGATCGGGGGTTTAACCCCCCCAAGAAAGCAAGGGGTCCAAGGCTGGGCCTGCTGGGTGAGGGTCGAGGGACAGAGTAAAGGGAGTTGTTCTAGTCATTCTATGATTGGGGAAGGCTAAGACCTTGTCAGGGAGGCGGGAGTCTCAGCTGCTCCCCAGGCTGAGCCTGGAGGAAAGACCATGAGCTCAGATGTTTTGGAGAGAACAACCTGGACCACGTAGCAAGACACCTCCCACCCCCCACCCAAAAAACAATGGATACGATCTGAGACACTTGAGTCCAGATGCTGGCTTGCTAATACTGCCCACATGGCATCCCACTTTGAGGTCGGGGATGGTTGTGGAGTTGCTTGTGGACCCGCACTTTTCCTGCCCTAGGGCTGATCAGGAGTGAAGTGCTGTATCTAGCTCCGGCTCACCAGGATTCTGAGGTAGCGAGGGTTCTCACAGATTGCGGTGAAAACAGCCTGTCAGACTCATACCGGGAGGCACAGAACTCGGGTGGTAGGACTGGCTATAATGCCCACACACCACACAACCTGTGCCTGTAGCCCTCCGTTTGTCAGGGGTTTGGGGAATGTAGATTATTCAGCTCCCCCCTCGGGGGGGGGGGGAATAGAAGTCGCTGAACTTTTTCCCTTCTGCCACTTTTCCTTGACGCACTCCCTGCTTGGTCATTGATTTTGGTTTAGGTGAAACTACTTTTTTCCTCCATTTAAAATAGTTAACAAAGTGTGAAATTTTGTCCTGGAGCTCAAGAGTAACTAATAAGAGTTCTGCTGTGTGCACCCGTGTGTATGTGCGTGGGTAGGCACGCGCTCCTCTGTGGCAACATGCCGTAGAGAAATCCTATGTGAAAGAATGGAGTTTCAGAATTCTGAGATCTAAATGCTTTCTCAGCTGAAACGCCCAGATTACTTGCTTTGTGATCACGCTGGACATCAAACCCAAGGTCTTGCACTTGCTAGGCAAGCTCCTACCACTGCTGTGCTAGCCCTTGGCATCTAAAATAGTGTTAGAAGCAGAGAACAAAATTAAGACTTCAAACTGGAAGCTTTCTGCTCTGTTTTCTGTAAGAAGCCTTCAATATGTCTTCACCGTGCAATTCCGTTTGATCTTTAAAGAAGGAAACTAGACTTCTGTAGCATTCCAGGACGTAGATTGGATTGCTTTGGGTTGTTTCACATTCTGGCAAAGAATCCCAAGGCATCATCTTTACCCTGATATGAAACCCTCTGCTGAAATGCGTTCTTCTTGCCTTCCCAGGCCTTGCCATGGAAAAGAATGATGCAATCAACTTCAAGGCTTTGGAGAAAGAGCTGCAGGCTGCACTTGCTGCTGATGAGAAGTACAAAAGGGAGAATGATGCCAAGTTACGGGCAGTTGAACAAAGAGTGCCTTCCTATGAGGAGTTCAGGTTGGCTTGCAGCTGTTTTCAACAGGCCCCTCTGTCCTGGTGGGCTACAGAAGTCAAAAGCAAGCAGTCTAGATTCAGATCATTCTGTCCTGCTCCTACCCTCTGTTACTTGATCTTAACCAAGCTCCTTAACCTATCTGAGACTCAGCTCTGTCTGTAAAGAGAGAGAAATGGCTGCTACAGTTGTTTGAGTTATTGCATGTAAGACTCTGAGCACAGTGTGTAGCCCATTTGAAGTGCATGAGGACTTTTAGGTATCTATGCTACTATTGTTGTAGTAATTGCCCTATTTCCTGTAAATACGCCTAGCCAAATAGCTGCCCCAGGCTTAGAGAAACATTTAAGTTTCAATCTTTGTCTTTGACCCAGAGGTATTGTCCTTGCATCACACCTGAAACCTCTGGAACAGAAGGACAAGATGGGAGGAAAAAGAAGTGTGCCCTGGAATAGTCACACTACTAGGGAAAGGACTTTTGAGGATGTGGCCACTGAAATACCCCAGGTAGGTGCTGGGGGCAGTCTCTTTGGCCCAGCAGGATTTCTCTGTACTAAAGCTATGACCCTATCTTTTTACAACACATACCACATTCTTATGTCTCAGGGAAGCCAACAGAAAGAGATTTTTTTTTCCTAATCCCAGAACAGCAATTAGATGGTGAGACTGAGTTGAATTGGGCTTAGCAGTCCTCTTAATATTCTTTCTCAGATTGGTGGTAAATAGTATTGTGAGCCTGTGGTGGTATGGGGGGTGGGGAAGAACCCAGCCTGTCAGACCAGAGATTTACAGTAAACTCCCCCACTTTTTTCAGAGAAAGTTCTGACTTACTCTAAAAGGCCAAGAGCTATGTTTCCTTTCTCAGGAGGAAAACCCCAGTACAAAGGAGACCTTCAAATCATAGCCTGGATTCCTTGGGCCCTCCCTCCCTCCTGCATCCCCAGCTCCCTCATCTGAAAATGAGGCCGCAGAGGCTAGCCTTCCTAGAGCTCAGAGAGCAGTTGCAGCGCTAAGATGAAAATTCATAACCTCCCTCCCCATCACAGTTGCAGAGTGGCAAGATGAGCTCTGGACCTGTTTCCTTTTGTTATGCAGGAGAAATCACCCTTCCTGCCTGCGACCTCTGCAGAGTTTTACCGTGATTGGCGGAGACACTTAAGAAGTGGGTCAGAGCGCTACCAAGCCCTGCTTCAACTTGGGGGTCCCAAGCTGGGCCACCTCTTCCAGATGGATGTGGGCTTTGGACTTCTTGGGGAGCTGCTAGTGGCACTGGCTGAGCATGTGAGGCTAAGTGACCGGGAGGCAGTGCTAGGGATTCTGCACAGCTTGGCTAACACTGGGCGATTCACCTTGAACCTGAGCCTGCTGAGCCATGCAGAGCGAGAGAGCTGTCAGCTCTTGTTTCAGAAGTTGCAGGCTATGGGCACCACCAGACCCATGCAGGGGGCACTCAGCATGGAGGAGCCATTTGCTGGGCTACAGGGAGAGGAGGGGCTCCTACAGGAGCTACTAGGTCTGTATGGGGTCCAATGATAGGACTGGCTGCCCTCAGCATTCCCAAGCGGTCTCAGAAAGCATTTTTTTTTTTAAAAAAAAAAAAGACTTGTTTAATGTGTCTAAGTGTTTTGCCTACATGTATGTATGTCCACCATGTGTGTACCCAGTGCCTGAGGAGGCCAGAGAGAGTGTTGGCATCTCTGGAAGTGTAGTTACAGATGGTTGTAAGCTGCCATAATAGTGCTGGAGTCAAACCTACCCCAGGCCTCTGGAAGAGCAACCAGTTCTCTTAACCATTGAGCCATCCCGCCAGCCCCCTTGGAACGAATTTTGTGGGGTTATCTTGGGGTGTCTGCAGAAGTATTGAAAGAACTATGGTGAGGAACCCACACCCACTTCCCTTTTCATAGTGGGCTTGCCCACTTCTCCAACCCATAACTTCATCTTGTGTTTCCCCAGGGTAGCCAAGGGCCCACCTGGTTGAGAGTGTTTTGCTACCTGCCTTTCGAGTTTGCCATGTCCCTAGCCTTGAGAGGTAGGTGTGCTTACAACTAAATTCTGGCCACACAGAGTTTCCTCCTGTGTGTGGGGAGGGGGGGGAGGGCAAACTCACTGACCTCTAGCGAAAGACAAGCACTGATCATAACTCTTAACCAGAATATTTATAACCCAAAGCCAGTGAGTGAACAGCCAATCAATAACAAGGAAAGGTCCTTCATTTGAGATGCAGAATGTTCCCCCAGAGACCTAGTTCTTTCACAGGTTGAGCCTGGGAAATCCCCAGTCCATTGGCCCAGGTCTGGCCAGCATCCCGGATGACCAGCTGTGCAAGAGAGGTTGCTGTTATCTCTCAGAATAATAAAAGGATGTTCTCCTGGGCAGGCAGGGCCAAGGGTACTTACAGCTCATTCTAGTTTCCCTTGACCCATTCTTAGTTGAGTGTCAGTGTTCTAGAAAGGTGAGAGACTGCTAGGTTCTAGAATGACTCCCCACCCCACTCTTGAGATCTGTCCTGGTGTGTTAGAACGGCATCTTGTACATCAGCTGGGAATAAATTGCCTTGCACCTGGCTGTCTCCTCTGCAGTTTTCTGGCTTCTTTTACTGGTTGTTTGACCCTTTCTTTATGTAGCAGCCTCCTCTCAGCATGATTTCTAAAAAGCCATAGGTCTTTGGTGCCTTGGGTTTTGCCCTGCCCATTTAAGACCCTCCTTCCTACAAGCATGAGTCTGGCCCACACCACTGTGCTCCTGTGGGCCTGGGGCAGTCTCCAGGCCTTTGAAATCGTGGAGAAGGAGAACATTTTTCAGAAGACTCCCTGCCCAGCTTTCCTGATGTTTGATAATGCTGCCTATCTGGCTGACATGAGCTTTGAGCTTCCCTGCCACTGCAAACCTGAGGATGTTTCAGCTGTGGTCTGGTATTACCAAAAGCACCTGGGAAGCAGCCACACTACAGTGCTTACAGACTTTGATGGGCGGTTGCTCACAGAGGCGGCTCATGTTCGAGCAGGCAGCAGCATGCTGGTCCGCTTCAGCATCCGGATGTTCAGTCTGTTGGTTTTCCGGGCCCAGCCCGAGGACTCAGGCCTATATTTTTGTGGCACCCGTAAGGGGGACTATTTTTATGCCTATGATGTGGACATCCAAAGCAGTGAGGGAATGGTAGCCACCTTCAAGGACAGGGGCCAGGAGCCATTGCCGGATGAATACTTTGGAAGCCTCCATGTCTTTACTACCTTCTGGGAGTGGACACCCTGTGACCGCTGTGGGGTGCATGGGGAACAGTGGCGCCTTGGACTCTGCTACCTGCAGAACCCTGACCTCTCCCCTCGGTACCTTAAGACACTGCCCGATGTCGTGTCCTGTGGCTCTCGGGCTGTGCCAAGGAAACTGTGGATCAGGACCAGGTACCACACACCTGAGCTGCTAATTCAGAGCTGCCTAGTGTCCTGTGAGAAGAGGAATCAGATCCGGAAGGGTATGCTGACAATCTACAACTATGTGTCCAAAATGGGCAGCCGTCCCTGGCTGCCTCAGGTGCCCATTCAATTCCATCAGCAGAGACTAGGCCATGGCCTCATCATCTCCTGTCCCGGGGCCCGGCCAGAGCATGCTGTGGCCTGGGACAAAGACCGCCAGCCCCTCTACCGCACACAATACCTAAAAGGCGTCAACAGATCCATGCGCGTGTTCATCGACCACGGCAACCATCTCCACATCCGCTTTACCCAGTTGAGTGACCGGGGCATCTATTACTGCTGGCGGCAAGGGTTGAGAATCGCTGGCTTCCGGTTGGGAGTAACATCTCGAGGACGCTACCCAGCCTCACTCTCAGACCCCGAGACTCGCAGTGCTGTGGAGCTCACCCTGATAGGCTATCTGCTCATCACCGCAATCTTTGTCACCATTCATGTCTGTCGGTGCTGTTGCTACTCATTCCGCTGTTGTCCCAACTTCTCCACCCATGCCCTTCTCCAACTGTGAAAGCCAGTTGTATTTTCAGTATGTTTGTTAAATGGTACCAGATGCTCCTGGATGGGCACCTTGGGCTGGGACACGTGACAAGGTGATGTACAAGTCTTTTATTTACAACTTGCTCTCCAGTTTCATGGGAGGGGCCTGGGTCTAATCTGGAAAGTGGAGACGCCTGAGGGAGGTCAGAGGTCAGAGACTGAAGTCAGGAAGGGAATGGACAGTAGTCTTCTCACTTGACACTCAGGTTGCAGGAGGAAGTGAACTGATAAACCCATCAGGTCATCTGTCAGCGTTGCTGACATTGAGGGTGTTTTGCTCTTGAGGACTACTGCTGGGCCCTGGTTGAACTGGATGGGGTGGGATGGAGAAAGAGAAAGGAAAGTGGAGGAGCTATGTCTTCCTCGGCTTCCGATTGTTCTGGGAATAGCAGAGCAGCAGGTGTGAAGATGGGGATGAGTGAGGAAAATGGAGATCCAACACAGGACTTTCTGAATGGTGGTACCCAGGCTAGGGACTGGGGAGGAGAAGAGGTCTGGAGCAAAGGCCACAGCGCCAGCACTCTGTAGGAGGTGGGATCTGACAGGTAGCTGCTGCAATGGAGTCAGGATCTCAAGACTACCTGTAATAATGAGCCAGTTGACTCCTGCCTTGCTCTTCACCCCAGCTTCTGAACAAATCAGACCCACTCTGCGGAAGGCCATGACACATGTCTTTATTTCTTCTTAGTGAGTAAAGGTGACAGCAGAGGTTAGCAGAGGCAGCAAGGAGTGGGAGGAGAGGGTACAATGTCCTAGGAAGAGGAGGGGCCCCACTCTCCTTTTTTGACCTTAGAGGGGAGGAAAGGACAATGGAGTGGACACTTTCAGCCCCATTGCTGGGCACAATTCCCCACCAACCAGCCCAAGAGAAGGTGCTCTGGTGTGGAAGCATAGTCCCAAATTGTCTCTAAGCAGCTGGAACAGGAGCCAGTCTACCAGGCTCATGTCTCAGTTTCCCAAATTGTCAAATAGGATGATGACTAAAAACATAGGTAATATTATGAGTATGCATAAAAAGGACACAGGCCCCTTGCTTGGAGAACAGCAGCTATAAATTATGGGATGGAGAGCCTCAAAAGGATGGTAGTAGTTTCATCCGGATTACAAAGCAGCAGTCACGGGGGCAGAGAACTGAGTGGATACAGACCATGCAGCCAGGAATAGACCTTGACAACCGAGACACAGCTGTACCCTGCCCAATGGAAAGAAGTCCCTCTCTCCTGTTTCAGTGTCTTCAGGAGAATGAGTCATTTCCTTGATTCCCAGGACCCAGAGCCAAGTGTAACTGGTTGCCTACAACTTCCAACTCCAATGTCTGAATCATCTCTGCTGGTGCTCCTCCAGCCTGAGTAGGGGGGCCTTCCTGGACTTGATCTCTCTGCATCCACACTTAGGGGCCAGGTACCCCACCTCTACCCCCTCCTGGTACTACTTCCTTCTCCACTTATGCTATAGATCCCCCCAAGGGCTGAGAACCAAGTTTCCACATGCTCACAGGCTGCTGAGCTGAGTGGCAACTCAGTAGGGCTGAGACACGAGTCATCACTCTGAAGGTGATGACTCTTAGGTCTGCCTTAGTGGCCATTCCAGGTAGCAGGTCTCCCCACCCACTCCTAGATCAGTCAGGGCTATTCTGGAAACAAGTCTCTGGCTAGAGCTACTTTGCCTTGGGACCTCCCCTTTCTGTCCGACTTTCTGTCTTCCTTCAGCAGCCAGTGGAAACTCAAAGTCCAATTCCCAGAGACCATCAGCTCTGGCAACAGTTTCCATAACAACAAGGATGAAGGAAATGATTTGTTAAGGCTCCCTGCTCTGCCCAACTTTCCTCTTTCCTTCCAATTCTAACTCAGCTGCTGGCCCCTCCCCTCCTGACTGCCCCTTTGGGGTGAGTATCCTGTTAGTTGGAGGCACAGAGTATGTACCATCTGTCAGCAGTAAGGACTGAGCCCCGGGCAGCAGACAGGCATAAAAACAGAGGGAAGGGGAATGCTGATGTTGAAGGGAACAGGGCTATCTGAGGGGGAGCTCTGGGCCCTTCACACTGTCTGGCAGGGGCCACCAGGTGGGCACACCTCACATCACATCCTTGTGCTCTTGCTTGGACTCCTTAATGACCTGCAGGGGACAGGGAAGGTGCACAGTGCACAGTTAGGGGTGACATAGCTCCCAGACCCACCATGCTAGGCTGTGCATCCTGAGGCAAGCTCCCAACTATCCTGACCTGTCCTCCCTTGACTGTCATTGTAATTGCATCATGCTGAGGTCCAATTGGGGTGTGAAATGCCACTTGTAAAGCATCTAACACCATGCCTGACACTATGGCACAGGAGAAGCTATCTCTGTTGCCACCCCAACAAATAGAGAAGGCCATGCATGCTGTGTCTATCTCCTGTTCCCATTCCTCTCTGGAAAGCTCCTTTGAGTAAGATTTGAAGGCCTTTTCTTTCCCTAACTGTCCCAGTCAGAGCTGAGCCATCAGGAGGCCTTGGTACCCGGGTTGCCCTTAACACACCACCTGAGGAAGGGTTGGGAAAGGAGAATTGCATTCAAGGTCAATCCCTTCTTCCAAATTTCCATTGGGAGCCCCGGTAGTTAGTTAATAGGGACCTTCTGTGAGCTAGTCCCAGGCTTTCTGCAGTCTCGCTTCAGGAACTCCTGGGGGCAACCAGAGCCTTTGCTCACCTCACCGTCCCGCATCTCCACCGTCTTCACCACGATGTTCCTCTTGAGGTGCCCTTCTGAGACGGACTTGGTGTCCAAGCTGGTTTCTGCAGGTGCGAGGAGAGGAGGCCTCAGTGGGCTCTTGGGGCACTAAACAGCCTGTCCTGTATCCAGCTTCCCATCATGCACCCAGGGGCATGAATACAGGGCTATCTAACTAGGTAGGGAGAGGCTCAGTTTGCCCAAAGTGGCTGGAGACTCCCAACTGCCCCCCAGCACAGACACATCTTACTGCTGTCCTGTAGCCCACGCGGCCTTCTATTCTGGCACCTGGCTTCCTGACAACCAAGGGCTACATCAAGATAGAGGCCTCAGTTTCCTCTCTTACAAAAAGTGCTCACGGTGCCTACTTCCCTGGAGATGGTGATGGGGTGACTAACACATGTTAACATGTGCCACAATTAGTGATTAATACGTGTGGGACCCTTCCCCATCCTTACCTTTTTCTGTCACTTATCTGGACTCTAGTGGCCCTTGACTGTCTAGAATTTGGCACTATTACTTTTACCTGGTCAGCATAATTAACTTTCTAATGCTGAATTACATCTTGAAATATGTATGGCCAATATTCCTACGTGAAATTTCCTCCCTGCATCTAAGAATCACTTAAGGGCCACATACCAGTAAAAAGTAATTTGGTCCATCCCCCTTAGAGAGGAAAATAGAACATGTCACACTCAGTAATATTTAAAATGAAGAGCAGGGAACATAAAACTTTATTCACTACAAGAGCAGCAGTCCAGAGGGAGCTAATCCTCTGGGCTGAGTCAGCATTGAGTGAAACAACAGAGCCTTGGGGACCCATGAATCAAACACAGAGCCTGCCCAGAGGCACTGCAAGACCCAAGGGGACCACCTAGTGACAGCAAAGAGGTGAGGCAGAGGCTGGCATTTGCTCAGCAGGAACATTTACTCCCAGGGACAAGTCCCCTTTAACATAGGCTAGCTCTGTTGGTATAACCTAATCACACATAGCCAGGACGGGCTTGGGACTGAAGCTTCTGGAGAAAGGTCCCTGTCCTTTAGAGGAGGCCAAGAGGAGTGGGGAAATAGGCTTGATGATGCTCTCTCCCTGTCTAGCTGGGATAACACACAGCTGAAAAGCAGGCATCTATCTAACCGAGAGTTGGCGGGGCTGCGTTTACAATCTGGTGAGCCTGTATTGGTATAACTTGTACTGTGAGCCTTTTGAGATGCCTTGTGACTTTGTGGCCTTCCCCTTCTTTGGTGCTTTTGTCTCCTGTAGTGACAAGCAGTTCAAAACAAAACAAAACGTAAAACATTGAGAAGGGCAGAGCTTGTTCATGGCTAGCAGACCTGGCATCAGTCGAGACCTCACCAGTTCTGCAAGGGTACAGCTAGGGGTTGGGGGCATAGGGCAGAGTGAGACAGGGACAGCCATAAGCCCTAGGATGCTGTGCTCTACGTAGGATTAGTGGAAGGTCTTAAAGGCTCCCAAGGAGAACTTGGATTCCTTTGCCCCCAGTCCCCAAGAGCAGTCCACAGGCCTGGGGGAGGAGGTAGCTATTCAATACCCTTTCCCACAAGGCCCCACTATACTGACCTCGGATCTGCAGGTTGGAGAAAGTTTGTACAGGGATGGTGATGCTGAAAGACAGTGAGGGATGGGGGTGATGAGGCCAGAACATTCCCAGATCACAGCATGAAAATCTCAAAGTCCTTTGCCAGGCCAGCCTGGTTCCATTCCCTACATCCCTCCCCCTCTGTCTCTCTGTCTCTCTCTCCCCTCACCTCAGGTCTTTCAGACAAAGGTCTCTCTATGCAGTGTTGGCTGGCCTCACACTCATAGAGATCTGCCTGCCTCTTCCTCTCAAGTGCTGGGATTAAAGTAATGAACTACATATATATGGCAGAAGTGGGTGTTGGATCCCCTGGAACCGGAGCGTTACTACAGAACATTGCAAGCTGTCATGTGGATACTAGGAACCTAACCCTAACCACACAGCAACCTCCAACCTCCTCCACCTAAATTTCAGCCCAGAAGCTAATACTCTCCTGCAGCTGGAAAAATCTGCAAGGAGCTTGTGTATTATCTGCCCCCACAGAATACCTCCAGGAAGGAGCATGGAGGCTTGGCAGGTGGGCGGGAGAAGTCCCATCTTTGTTGGCTAGCCTTGGGAGTCAGCCTCTTAGTTTGGGGGAATAGCTCAAGTCCTCAGCCCTGGAACTTAATACTGGTTGAATGAATCTATCTGTCTGTCTGTCTATCTATCTATCTATCTATCTATCTATCTATCTATCTATCTATCTATCTATCCTTCAGTCATTTCTTGAATACCTATTATGCCTTAGGCTGGACTTTGGGGGTGGAAGGAATACAAGGCTACTGGAGTACCTTAGGGGGAATTCTAAGGAGAAAAAACAGCTCTAAGGAGATGAGCTCACCGGTTTTCCTCGCCCTCTAGCAATTTCCTGTAGGTGGCAATCTCGATGTCCAGTGCTAGCTTGACGTTGAGTAGATCCTGGTATTCCTGCAGGTGGCGAGCCATCTCCTCTTTGAGGCTTTGGCCCTCCTCCTCCAGCCGGGCGAGCGCCTCCTGGTAACTTGCCGACTCCCGCGCGTGGCGCTCGTCCTGTTCACGCATTTGCCTCTCTAGGGACTCATTCTGCCGGATGGAACCGACTGATCACTTGGTCCGGTGATTCCAAGGGGCTTTGAGGCCCCACCCTCAGCCTCAGCCCCCTACCCACCTCCAACTTTTCAGATTCCTTCCTCCCTTTACCACTCTTCATCTACCCTCAACCCTCCCAACCCCCCCCCGCCCGGTCCCCTTCCAGCAACATCTTGGGTGACGGCTGCCCCCATCCGACCAGTGGTCCCTGCCTGTGCTCACCGTGCCGCGCAAGGACTCCAGGTCGCAGGTCAAGGCCTGCAGTTGGCGGCGATAGTCATTAGCCTCGTGCTTAGCCTGGCGGAGCAGCTCTGCGTTGCGGGAAGCAGCATCTGTGAGGTCTGCAAACTAAATCGAAAGAGGAACTGAAGTCGAAGGGAGGGCTGGAGCCTCCCATCGGCACAGTGCACAAACCAGGTTGCTGCCTGGGATGGGGGATAGACACGGTCTCTGGAAAATCAGAAAAGTGGGGTCGACCTCAGGTCTCTCCCAGGTGCAGCAACTGTAACCGAAGGATTTATCAGGCCTTCAACATGTTCAGGCTGTCACTGGCTTCTGCGGCTCAAACTGGACTCTGTGCCCTGGCCAGCAACACCTCCAGTCTCTGCTTTTCTGTCTCAGGCCTCCTCACAACGCCTGTTCTCTACTTGAGACGCCCTTCCCTCTTCTCTTGAGTCTCTAAGCTGCCTGTTTAGCACAAGCCCCTGTTTCCCAGTCTGTATAAACTCTGATATCTCCTTGACCAAATAAATGTTTCTCTGTATCTTGGGGAGTACCCGGCACACAGTAGACGTTCAGGAACACAGGACACAGACTGGCAGAGGCATCAAAAAGGCAGGCTCTCAAATGAGATGGGTTAGGATTAGAAACTTTATCCCTTGTTCACTTAGGAGCTGTGTGACATTGTGCAAACTAGTTAACCTTTAACCTTGCTGGTTAAAAATAGTAGTAGCAATAACAATGAGTAGTTTGGGAAGTCGTAATGCCTGTGTGGTCCTGGGCAAGCCATCTCACTTCTCTGAGCAAGCTGGTCACCTAGATAGGTTATTTTCCAAGCCTCCTTCCCTATTCCCCAGTGTGGATCAGGAAGGGCTGCCTGGAAGAGGCAGGCTAGCCCACGGGTACCTTGGACCGATACCACTCCTCTGTCTCTTGCATGTTACTGGTGGCCACTGCCTCGTATTGAGTTCGAATCTCTCTCAGGGCCGCTGTGAGGTCTGGCTTGGCCACATCCATCTCCACGTGGACCTGCTGTTGGGCCAGCTGCTCCCGGAGTTCTCGAACTTCCTAATAGGGTAAAAGAAGGGGTATCTCAGGCCCAGGCTACAGCTGGGGCTCTCCCAGCATCACACTTTTGCCTGCCCAGATATGTCACTGGCTCAGGGAAATGGGGCAGCCTTTACTGGAGGAAGTGCATAGCCTAAGCTAATGGGCATGTGCCATTTAACCTTTAACCCTAGCATGTGAGAGGCTGGAGCAGGCAGTCCTCTATGATTTTGAAGCCAGTCTGCTCTACATAGAATGTTCCAGGCAAGCCAAGGCTACACAGTGAGACCCTGTTAAAAAGTAGAAATAAAAACCCTAATGGGTATGGAATGAGAATCTGAGGGCGTCTTCCTCCCAGGGCTGTGTGTTCAGGAGCCAGGCATGAATATGTCCTGCATCCTGGCTCTGAGGTCAGAGAACAGAGGGGTGTGTGTGTGTGTGTGTATTTGAGACAGGGTCTCATGGAGACCAGGCTGATCTCAAATCTTCTGTGTAGCTGAAATTGGCCTTAAACACTTTGAGCTTCCTACCTCTACCTCCCAAATGCTGAGATGGCATGTCCTCAGAGGGGTTTTCATGACTGTCTCCCATCTTCCTGGTGACAAGTGGGGGAGAGGGTGAAACCAGACAGGCTGTGTGACTTTGGGGTGGTTGTTTTGTTTTGTTTTGTTTTTAACTTCTCTAGGATTCAACATCCTTCCTGTTATGAAAGGAGACCACAAGAAGGGCTCACAGAGCTGATGTGGAGAAGAAACTAAAGACCTGGCCTTGTGCTTCTCAAAACATGGTGGTGGGGGAGGGCCTGTGTGCATTTTCCAGGGGTAGGAGACACTGGAAAACACCTCCCTTGGTCTCTCTGTCTTCACTCTTTCTCTTTCATTTTCTTTCTTCCTGACAGTTGGCTTCTCTGTTTCCCTCTCTAAGTATCTATCTGTCCATCTGTCTGTCTCTTTCATTTGAAGATTCTTGTTTGGCCTCCCTCGTTCCACCTGGCCTCACCTCCTCATGGACCTTCCTCAAGAACTGTATCTCCTCCTCCAGCGACTCAATCTTCCTCTCCAGGTCCAGACGGGCCATGGTAGCTTCATCTGCCTCCTGGAGTGGGGAGAGGGCCTTTTTTGACCCCAGAGCCCACCCCACTACAACCTCCAGTTTTGTCTTCTCCCTCCTTGTGGGGGTCTGGGAAGCAGGCAACTGCAGTGAAGGGTTAAGTTCAGGGCCTATGTCTGGGTGGGCAGTCATTAACCCCACCCCCAAGCCCTACCCCCAACACACACACCCCCACCCCAGCTGCCCATCCCTCCCATCTCTCTGACCTGTCTATAGGCAGCCAGGTTGTTCTCAGCCTCCAGCCTCAAATTGGTTTCATCTTGGAGCCTGGGATATGGGACACAGTATGGGCTTAATGCTTTCCTAAGAACTCTTATTAGATCCCTGTCCCAACCTCTATGGAATTGACTGTCATAAAACACTCTCACAGGACCCACAGAGTGGCAGGAGACGTAAGGAGCAGAGGCTTCCTAAACAGAGGCCCTGGCTGAGAGAGTAAGCAGCAGATAAGAGTTTCTGCCTTAACTCATTACTGAGGTGCCTTATCGGGGTTGGTGCACCTGCTCATGCTCGCACAGGCGCATCCACCACCATGTGCACGCTTTACAGACACCAGTGCACCTCCTGCACTATATGGGCACACGAATGTCCACCACTCAGCAAAGCACCATGCCCCAGAGTTCCACCTTTTAGGACAGATTGTATCATGACCTCTCCTTCACAGCTATGACAAAAACTGGTGACAGACAGTCATCGGGGTTCTGCACCCAGGCCTGCCCTTTCTTTCATTCTCTCTATTTCAGAGACCAGAGCCTCCTTGTGGACATAAGCCTTCACTCGTCAGATTCACAGTGCCAAATGAATGAAAAAGCAGAGCACCTGCTGGCTGGTGCCCTCGCTGCCCACACAGCCTTCCCCAGTGTGGAGATGTCCCGCGTGCCAGGCTCCCTGGCAGCAGACCTTTGGGAATCAGATCGCTGAAGTTCTGGCCTCTCCCTGCCTATTCCCATCATATTAGGGAGCAAAGATAGCTCTCCCTTTCCCAGGCATGGGGAAATGCAGCAGCTGAAACGCCGAGCCCTTGCCAGAGTCAGTACCCTTCCTTATAGGCATCCCTCTCGGTTCTGTCTAGCCATTTTCCCTGACCCCCTCCTCACTTCTGCCTCAGGGTGCCCAGGTCCTGTGCCAGATTGTCCCTCTCCACCTCCAACCGGGCACTGTTGGCAGTAAGGTGGTCCAGCCGCAGCCGCAGCTCTCGCAGCTCTGCCTGGTAGACGTCCGCCAGTTTGGTGGGCTCCTTGGCACGAAGCTGGTTCAGCTCAGCTGCCAGTGCTTTGTTTTGCTGTTCCAGGAAGCGGACCTTCTCGATGTAGCTAGCAAAGCGGTCGTTGAGCTCCATCATCTCAGCGCGCTCACTGGCCCGAGTCTCCTTGAAGCCAGCATTGAGAGCCCCGGCCAGGGAGAAGTCCACCCTGGCAGGGAGTGGAGGAGGCATTCGAGCCAAAGAGAAGCGTGGGATGGTACCCAGGTGGCGGCTGGGACCCAGGCCCCTGACCACCGTCTCGGAGGAGGCATAGGAGCGACGTGCAGAGGTGATGCGTCTTCGCTCCATCCTGCCCTGGCCCTGCTGGCTCTGGGGATGTCAGAGTTTTATGGAGGAATGGGCTGAACTGGCTCTGCCCTGACTTCCTGGCAGCACCCCACTGAATAGACTGAGGGGGTGGAGCTGGGCCCTAGCCCAGCTACGGGGAGAGCTCCTCTCACCCCACTGAGGTCTTTGTACTAGAGTCAAGGTTTCCCTGGGCACACCAGCTTGGCTTCACCAGTGATGAAGAAAAACCCCTTTCTGGTAAGATGGGTCAAGAGAGGGCTAGAGTGGCTGAGGAAACAGCCCATAAATTGCTTGCCTGTCAAGCATGAAGACTCAAGTTCTAGTCACAGAATGAAAACAAAAGGTCAGGTCTGACGATGTGTACTTGTAACTCCAGTGCTGGGGAAAGAAAACCAGGAGGATCCTTGGGTCTCACTGATTAATGGGTGAGTTCCAGGTCCCAGAGAGAAACGATGTCTCAAAGAAAACCAAGGCAACAGTGTCTGAGGAACAATACCTGATGCTGACATTTAACCTCAGTGCACATGGGCCCACACAGGAATATCTTGCAATGAACAAGCATTTGTGTGTAGGTGCACTCGAGCATGTGAGCAAACACGCACGCGCGCGCACACACACACACACACACACACACACACACACACACACACACGAGAGAGAGAGAGAGAGAGAGAGAGAGAGAGAGAGAGAGAGGGTGAGCACGAGCTGGGTTGGGTGAGCTGCCCCCTGCTCTTAGCGTCTAGAAGCCAGGGCTACCCTCATTCTGCACTTTTCCATGGGCCTGTGAGATGCTAGGAACTTGAAGAATCTATGCCCTGCCTCCAGGATCAGCCTATATGATAGTTTCCTGCTGACTCCCATTCCCAACAGGTGTCCAGAGTCCTCTCCCTGCCATCCTGTCTTCTCATTCCTGGAGTTCAGGAGTGAAGGGCTGGGCTTGGGGCCCTCCCTATGACTCCAGGGCCAGCCTGGGCCTCTAGCTGTGTGTCTAAGGGGCAAGACAGAAGGAATGCATGAGGACCCTAATAGGGTACAATAGCAGACCTCCTTCCTGAGCCCCTCTTTGGCATCGTGTCTAGCCTACTGGGCCATTTCTTCCTGGTCCAGCTTCCCTTTCCTCCTCCCCGAGCCTGGCCCCTGACAGCTCTACAGAGTAGCTATGAATGAGTTGGTTGTGCATGCTGGAATCTTCATTTTTGTAACACCCTGTCCTCCTGGTCACCCCTCATTCTCCCAGGAGATTTATCTTCTTCAAATTTCCACACATCAGGCCTCTGGGGAATCTCTAGGTCTGGGAAGCCAGAATTCACTATCATCAATGGTGGGGAGGAGGCTGTTGCCGTGAGACTTCAGGCCTATCCATCCCCTCCACTCTGGTCCCTCCCAGGCGCCTTAGCCATTTGTGCCCTTGGGCTTCTGGAAAACAGACAGCTAAGTTCCCCCCACCCCTGCTTCCCTCTGTCCATGCTTGAGCTTCTGATCCCTGCTCCAGGGCACTTGCTGAATAGAGCCTTGTTCTCTGCCGCCAGTGAGGGAGCCATACGGCAAGGGCAGCCCCAAGGGGGCTGGGCTGCTTTTATCCTAAGATGCCAGGATGTCAGCCCCTGGTGCTGTACAAGCTCCCAGATCAATGGACTTCTCGGAAAGCATCGAAGGGGGCCTGGAGTGCAACGGGAAGCAGGCTGTGTGCCTACCCTGACCATTGTGTCTCTGCCAAGGTGAGTCATTCAGCGGGCACACAGAGGAGGTCCTGGGGGCAGCCAGCTTACAGACAACGCCTGGCTGCTTGCCCCCTCCCCCTGCTCAAGCCAATTCAGACCCCTGAGCTCCTGACACAGCAGCATCCCTTACTCCGTACCAGGGACATGGCATTCACTTGAACTTGCACAGGCTGAGGTTCCCCTAGCGAGTCCCAGCATGGGAAAGGAAGGAGCTCCTTAAGATCTAGCCATATCTTCCCCCATTGAGGACAACGGCATAGTAAGGCAGATCTTGAGAGAAGTTCCCAGCAACCTTTAGGCAGTATGTCATCATGTCCCCTGGAACTCACTATATAGATCAAGCTGGTCTGGAACTCACAGCAATCCAATTGCCCCTTTGTGATTAAAGGCTTGCATGACCACTTCCTGCCCCCCAGTGACTATTAATACTCTTATAAGCTGGAACGCTAAGGAACAGGGGATGTTAAGGGAAGAGCCTTACTAGAGACCAGCCTTTAACTCAGGACACATCTCAGAGGGTAGGAGTGGCCTGCCTTTCTAGGTCCAAACAAAGTGGTTCTGAAGGGAAAAGATACGACAAGAGCAGGAGAGGTTTGACAGAAAAACTGGAGAGTCCGTCCTGTTTATGTGAGTTTATTTCAGTACCAGCCAAGGAGTCCTCCAGTCTCTGCCCCTCACCCCCTCCTTGTACCCCTGATGTAGGACCAAGTTCCACTCTAACCCCACTGGGCTTTTGGATCCTTGCTATACTCTCTCAAAGGGTCTTTGTGTGTAGAGACAAAACAAAGACACTTGATTACAAACTTTCATATTGGTGTTTTATTATACACTCACTGTAGAGAAATCAGAAAATACACATAAGCGGGCTGGAGAGATGGCTCAGAGGTTAAGAGCACCGACTGCTCTTCCAGAGGTCCTGAGTTCAGCACCAGCAACCACATGGTGGCTCACAACCATCCATTATGAGATCTGGTGCTCTCTTCGGGTGTACATGGAAGCAGAATGTTGTATACATAATAAATAAATAAAATCTTTAAAAATAAAAGAAAAGAAAATACACATAAGCAATTTAAATATTTAATTAGCCATAGTTTTGCCACATGCAGATAAACACTGCCAGGTTTTTCTACACATATAAATGGTTTTTTTCAAAACAGGCCCATACTGCACCAATTATTTTGTAATTTGCTTTTCCTTCAACAATATGTTGTGAACATCTTTCTGAATCAATAGCCATTTGCCTACATCATCATTTTAACAGCTGTGTGGCTTTCCCCTCCATGCATTCATTTACCTAAGCCCTATTGCTGGGTAGCTCTCTAGCCAAGTTCCTAGCCCACTTCCCACCATATTCATGCATATCTGCCCCAGATAGGCACTTGGTAGGAAAATAGACAGGCCCGCTGCTCTCCCAGTTGCCACAGGGATTCCCATCCTCCTAGCCTGGCTCCTGCCTCACCCTGGGGGTTACTCTTTTTCAACTTTCCCAAGCAGAAGTCTCCAAAAACAAAAGCCTCAGGCCAAACTCCAGCCGACTTTTAGACTCCACCACAGGGTGCTGCCAGCCATGGAGACAGATGCTTGGAACCTCACTACAGAGTCCACAGACAAACTGAGCCCTGCTTCAAGTCAAAGTGGGGATAGATGGCTTCCTAGTGTCCCTCTCCTTGTATTAAAATCTGACCGATGATCTTTTGCTTACACGGCAAAGCCTCAATTCCTCCTGGGACAATCCCACTTCTGCTCTCAACTCATCTACACAGTGTCTGGTGTTTCCCACCGATGCCAGCCTCTAATTCAAGTGGCCGTGCAATCTCAGTGTCACCTACTGGCTCTGCTTGCACACCTGCCCCTGCCCAGTGCAAGTACAGAATGGCAGTGAGATCAAGACTGGCTAACCCCATCCCCTGGTGCTGCCTGGAAGAAGGGAATTTGAGCCCTATGGCCACTAGATGGCAGTGCTCAGCTGCCCAGGTCTGGCCACCAAAACCAGTGGAAGGAAATAGGTTTTCCTAGAGGTTGGTGGTTTTTCTAACATCCACATTTGTATCGCCCAGCTGGCCATTCTGCTTTGATTTTTTTTCTTCACCACTCACCTCTGCTGTGACGGTGCCCTCTTGAGGAGAAAGCAACACTTTGGCTCCTCAGGAGCTGTTAAGTGTTGAATGAGGCAGGAACCATCACTGAATCTCCATCTCCAGATCTGTGAAATGAGGGTTCACCTCCCAAGAACATTGTGAGAACAGTCCGTGAGAGACACTGTTGACAAACCATAGTGTCTATTTTGAAATGCATCCCATGTGCTCCAGTTATCAAATGCTGGAGCTTCTGTGATGGCTTGGCCAGGAGGGGCAGGAACTTGAGTAAGGGCTGCCAAGTCCTACAGCTCTATTGGGAGAATGTGAGAACCTTTAAGAGAGGTTACATGGCAGAGTGGATAGGACCAAGGGACAACGGTGAGTAAAGAGAGCGGGGAGTCAAGGTTGTATTCTCCTAGACTTGTAGCTGCTGGTGGCTTCAGGTCCTCCAAGAGGACACTATTAGGTTTTTGTTGATTCTTTGTTTTTGCTGTTACTGTTTTGTGAGACAGTCTCATTATATCTCAGGTTGGCCTCAAATTTGATATGTATGTAGCCAATGATGACCTTGAACTTCTGATCCTCCTGACTCCACCTTCTGAGTGCTGGGATTACATGTGTGCGCCACCACACTTGGTTTATCTGATATTCAAACCCAGGACATCATGCATGTTAATTAGGCAAATACTTTGTCTACACCCACAGTCATCCAGCCCAACACGTACCTTTTTTGAAGCAGCTGTTGCCCCCTAGCCCACATTCTTGCTTCCCTTATCCCCTGTGGGCTCTGTTCTCAAGTGCCTTCCTCCATCCTTAGACTTGAGGCTGTAACTCCTGCGTTTGCCTTTTGTGCCTGGCTCTCCTGTGCACCTCTGCCTGAGTCCTCGTGGGAAGATGAGCTGTGCTTCCCCCCACCTCCAGGTCAAGATTTCCTGATGCTAGAATCTGTCTTCCCCCTCAGAACAGGGTCTACACCTCCCAGGTTAAGGCACCACGGAACAGGACTAGCTTCTTACCAACTGAAGCTTCTGCAGGTGGGGGCTTCAGTTGGAGAGGACCTGCCTTGGACCAGGGGCCATTCATTCTCCCACCTCTAGCCTATACCCAGCCAGGTTCTGCTAATCAGAAATCAGCTCCTGTGGCTGCTGAATGACCCCAGACTGGACCCCAGAGTCCTTCTTCTTCCTCCTTGGGTCTGCCTCTCCCTATTGCTGGAATCAGCAGCTCATTCATTTTCACAGGTTCTGGGGCCAGGCTGCTGTGGCAGAGTTAATAAGCTCAGGCCCTTTCTCCCTGGCCTCTCAGGGCCCCAGACAGGCCCACTTCAGTCTGTCCTTTACCTCCCAGCTTCCAACCCTGACATCTGCTTTTTAATTGCTTTCCCAGTCTGCTTTGCACTTTCTCCCTACATCCTCCCTCCCCCTCCCACCTGATTGGACCCCTGGGGGTGAGGGGTGGGACTAGATGTGGCCCTGGTGGGAGAAGAGGGCTGATAGTCACCCACTATTTGCAGACTAGCAGTTCTCCAAGTGTTTAGGATGGGCCAATGGACAGGGCTGTGTTGAGCAGAGAGCCATAAGGCTTACTTGAAACAGACCTCAGACTCCTGGGTATGGATCTGTTCTCTTCCTCCCCCAACATTCATCCCCAACTGTCCTGGATGCCTCTTTACACACACACACACACACACACACACACACACACACACACACACACACACACAAGAACTGTGGAAAAGAAAGCAGCCATGACTTAGATTCTACCTGGAACCAGAATCCCTCAAGCACAGTCAAGAGCCATGGGGCCATGGGGGGGGGGAGGGAGGAAGAGGTTCTGGAAACAGGTGACTGGGGTAGAACTCATGAAATAGCTGCCAAGGAGATTCCCCAGGTTGGGAAGCCCGGAGGGAGCAAGCTGAAGACTGCACATAGGGAGAACACAGAAAGACTAGACCCTTCCCCCTTGCCAGTTTTCAGCATGGATGGTAGATTTTGCTGTTCATTCAGTTCCAGGAATAGGTGCCACCCCCTTTGTCTTCACAAAGGTTTTCAGCTCTTTGCCACAAGCCTGGTTTTGTGAACTGGGTAGAAATGTGTACCCCAAATGGCAGGTTCAGATCTAAGCTTCTGTGTGACCAAAGAGCGTGGGGTGACTGCTTTCTCAACTCACAGAAGCAGGGCTGGGATGATGCAGGGAGAGGGGGCATTAGGCCAGGCTGGGTCTGTGGTGGATGGAGAGGCATTGATTACCATGTCTCATGGATGACTCTATGAAAGAACAATCCAATTTCAGAGTCTCATCGCCCATGCAAGTCAGATGGAAGCTGGGTGTCAGCTTGCTGCCCCCCTGCAGTTCCTGCCAGCCCGACTGCCTGTGGCATGCAGGACACCACACAGCCAAGCTCTCAGCCCGACCTCCTGTGATTGAGGGCAGGAGCCACACGTGCTTAGCTCCATCAGCCCAGAGGCTTAGTACATTTTATGGGTCACCCGAAAGCACACTTTGTACCACAGAGCTGCAAATGTTTGCGGAGTGAATGGCTGGCTGCCGAACATCCTTGTCAAGAGTGACCTCTCCCACTGTCAGGCTGCCCCCAGCCTGGCAAACTCTGCCACATGCAAAGACCCCACTGTGCAGAGCATGCCCTCCTGGCCCTTGTTACTGGCTGCCTTGCCCTGTGCCAACTGTCTTTGCACTTGAAGGGCGATAGTGATGATCAGAAGAGGTAATATATGTGAAGACCCCGGGAAATGGAGAAGTTACTCCATCTGCATCCAGCTATCACTCAGTGAGATCTCAAGTGAAAGCGCCGTGCCAGCCACCAGGGGCTACAGATGTGAATCTGACTGCTTCAAGGGAGCCATGGTACACAGGGGAACAAACTCATTAAGACTAATTGGAGAGGCGGGAACCCCATGCCTGAGAAGAGACATGATGTCTGTTCACTTCAAAAAGGCAGCAATCCTGTGTTATGTAAAAACCAGAATGTGGGCTTGATCTAAAACACTTGCTGTCCAACTGTGGGTAAGCTGGGTGGATCTTCTCCATCTCATAGGGCCATCGAGAGCTCAGACACAGTGACAGAACAGGGAAGCTCACCCCCCTGCTTTTCCTCACTCTCCCAATAAGGAACAGAACTGAGCAGGAGGGGCCCAAGCATGCTGGGAACATGGCAGCATTATTTACACACTGTTCACAATGTATTAAATACCCTTAAAATGTGTTTGTTTTGGGGGGCAAGTTCAACACAAGCTCCTGTAATTTTGTTTACATTATTAATTCACTCAGCCAACCATGTCTTCATAGGGAGGACAGAGATAACCATATTGAATTGCTATACAACCCAGCAAGGGGAATGGAAGGCCCCCAGGAGCTGGTGGAGTGGGGAGAGGAGCAGGCTGCTCTGGACTCTAGCTGGAGTTCACTTGGAGCCTCACCTCAGAACTGGATTCTACCAAAAAGGCCTTTTCTGACAGCAGAACAATTCACCCCTAAGGTGTAATAGACATCTAAATGAGATCCTTTTAAACCCACTGGGAGCAAAGATCCTGTGAGGAAGAAAATAGTGTGTGTGTACATGTATGAGTACAGGGAACATGCATGTCACAGCACGTGTGTGTGGTCAGAGGACAACTATGGGATGAGTTTGGGGACTGAACTCAGATTGTCAGGAAGGCCTGCAAAAAAAACAAGAGTTTTTCCTCCTGAGTCATTTCCCAGGCCCACAGAGAGGATCTTCACTGGAGCCTGGAGCCAGGTCTAGGACCCAGAACAGAAGGCTGCAGGTCGCCAGGCAGTACTATTTCTTGAACTCCTAAGTTTCTTGAACCCAGGGCTGCAAGATGCCAGGCAAGCACCCTACCACTGAGCTACAGTTTCCTGTAGATTTTTTTCCATGTTATGCAACAAAAGTTGGCCTCTAACTAATAACTTCCTAAGAGCTGGGATTACAGGAATGTGTTTCCACACTTGGCTTGAGGTCTTAAAGCTAAGAAAGGAAAGGTGGCACTAACCTATGAGGGTATAGAAGGAAGAACACACTCCAGGGATAGAGATGATTTAGTAGACAAATATATAGATCTAGGACACTTAAATACCAATATAGATAGCTAGCACTATATCTAAGTGGTAACATTAAGGCTATATTCTCCTCTCTTCTTTTTTTTTTGGCTTTTCGAGACAGGGTTTCTCTGTATTGTTTTGGAGCCTGCCCTGGAACTAGCTCTTGTAGACCAGGCTGGCCTGGAACTCACAGAGATCCGCCTGCCTCTGCCTCCCGAGTGCTGGGATTAAAGGTGTGCGCCACCAACGCCCGGCCCCTCTCTTCTTATAACCTGGCATATGCCCTGTGTTTACTGAGTGAAAATAATAAAGCTTTATAAACCACAACACCTGTCATGAGCTACATCATCTGGGGGCGAGGCATTCCTGCCCAGGGCTGTGGGCACAGGGCTGAAGATGCCCATCTCAAACACCAGAAGGGCCGAGCCGGACGTGCCAGCAAATGCCCCCTTTGTCCTCATCCACCCTTCCTGTGTAGAAGCCATCACTACACAGAGCTTGTTGGCAGACATGAGGCTGAGGGGTAGAGAAGTGCACAGGAGTTCCTTGCTTGCATGGAAGGGTTTAGGAATGAGAAAGTGACAAGATAATATAGCCACATGTTTAATACTCACAAGTGAATATGTATACACCAGGAAGATGAGTGTAACAGAGTGTAATAAAGAAGGCAAGGGGCAGATGGATAGTTGGGGAGGGTGTTAATACAGGAAAGGCATGTTGGTGTTAATACAGGAAAGGCACGTTGGTGTTAATTGTTCCGAGGTCTAGAGGGCAGGGCAGGGGCACATGGTATTGGCAGTTCCAGACCGAAGAAGGCTGTTAGCCTAAAGGTGTTGGTGAGTCAGGACAAGCTTGGAGGTCTCGTGGTCAGGATACCCAGTTAACAGCACTCTGTCACCCCAATCAGTCCCTTATGAGTCCTCTGGTCACCAAGGCAGTGGAGAATCAAGGGTGGTTCTGCAGGTCAGTTAGACAGAGAGCGGTACATAAGGACAAAGTGAGGCTCTGTCCCAGGTCCCTTGCCTCTCATCCTGTTCTCCCCCGGCCCCCGCCTCCCCAGTCGGGGTCCTTGAAATGCTTGCAAATCATTCAGGCTCTCCTCCACCTGGGTCTCCTACATCCCATTTTCATCAGCCACCACTGCTCAGGTACACTTGTCCCTAGGTCCAGTTACCAGGGGCTGTGAAGGGTCTGTCTGGATTCTTCAAAGTGCTACTGGGAAGGCGGGCAATGCAGCTGCGGCCTCGGGAAACTGAAGACCTGAAGAAGGGAAGTCAGGGAGGCAAGAAGATGGGAAGGTCACAGACATATTATGGACTGTGGGTGTGTGTGGAAGAGAGGTACCTAGAAGCCAAACCTCAAGGGCAGAAGTTGAACAGCAGTTTTCAAATCCACAGGAGAGAATGGGAGGCACAATGAGGGGAGGAGAGGCTTGTGGGATGCGGGACATCCAAGGAAGCAGAGGTGAAAGAAATAGTCCCATCGGTGGATTAGCCAATGAGCAATGCCAATCTCCCGCATGGCTAGGTGTCTAAGGCCCATATCATCTCTGGGAAAACCTCCTGATAAATAGTAAGCAAAGGCCAGAGAGATTCCAGTCAGAGAACTAAATGCTGTCCCTGCTCACAGGACTGTGGCTGCTTTCTCCAAGGGGGTCCAGAGAAAACCAGCTTCGGGTCTGTGCTTAGTTGGTGCCCACTAATCTGGTTAGGCTTTCCTCTCCCCACCTCCAGCCTCACCTCACAGTGCGCCTCTTCTTGCCGGCAGTGGTTGTAGGTAGAGAAGATTTGGGGCCCATCGTGGTGAACAGGAGCACAGGTGCACTATGGGGTGGCAGTGGCAGATCAGGAAGGGGCCAGAGATGCCACTGAGCACTCTCCTCTCACCAGCCCCGAGCTTGCAGGGAGGGAGGATGGACCAAATGACCTGAGGCTTCTTTCTGCTAAGAGATGGTCTCTCCCCCTGCCTCTCTCAGCTTGGGCTGACAGCTGACTGACAGCCCTGTTCCGGGAGAACATCCAGATGTCAGTTTCTGGCATGTCCTGGGAGCTGGAGTTCAAGCAATTTCACCCTTCCACCTGCCCAGCTCTGAGCTTGTTACTGAAGGCTGGCCATGGGGCATGGAAGGCATGGGGCCGTGGGTGGGCAGTCTGCTGGCCTCGGCCTCAGTCCTGAGCTAGTTGCCATTCCCCTATTATGTGGTTTGAGGGCAAAGGTAACAGCTTCAACTTTGCTCTAGAAAATACTGAAGAAAAGTTTTCTTTCCCTAGTGTGCCAGTCTCCCTTTGGTTTTTTTGAGACAGGATCTCTCTACAGAGCCCTGGCTGTCCTGGAACTCACTTTGTAGACCAGGTTGACTTTGAACTCATAGAGTCCGCCTGCCTCTGCCTCCTGAGTGCTGGGATGAAAGGCATGTGCACCACTCTCAGCCTTCCTTCTCTATTCCAAACACCTAGAGTATAAGTAGATGAAATAGGTATTTATCTTCGGGGTACAAACTCAGAATGGGTCATGGAACCAAAATAAAGCCTAGGAACAGACGGAACTGGGCTTGTTAATTCCTGGTTCCCTGATGACCTTTCCTATGCTGGCGTCCCATTAGCTACTCATGAGCACGACACGGAACCAGCATAGTTGGAGGGACAAGGCATGGGCCCAGGTCACTCTAAGATAACTCATGTAGCCTTACGACTGCCTGCTTTGCTTTCCTGGGCCTGGGCACAAGGCTGACAAGTGACCAAGGGGAGGCAGGTGGCAAATGTCTCCACTCTAAGAGTCAGCTGCCTTCCACCTTCTGAAAGATATGGGAGATGCGTGGGTACTCACCTAGGGATGGAGGGCTGGTCTTTGCTCGTCAGCTCCTGGGAGACTGCCTCACAGCCAACAAGTTCATGGAAGCTGGGTTTGGAGGGGGACTCCTCAGAGATGTTGAAGGTGGTGTTGAGGTCACGAGTGGGTAGGACAAGAGGAGTAGAGCAGTTCTGTAAGGCAGAAGAGGCCAGGGGGACCCGGCCTTTAATGACTGTAGCTGGGCAGACTCGGGAGGAGGTCCTTTCTCCTTCGGGAGTTCTGGGCTCAGAGGAAGGCTGGGCCTTAGGTAGAGAGCCCCTCTTCAGGCAGGGAAGGAAGGACTGGCGCTGGCGCTTAGTCTCCAGATTTGGGGCTGGTGGGCTGCTGGGTTCTGCTGGGTTCAGTTTCCTTTTCTTCTTCTCCTTGGAGGGCTTTTGGAATGTCTTATCTGAGGTGCAGTCAGGTCCAAGTGGGATTCCCAGAGTGTGTGTGAGGCCATTCAGTTGCTTTGCCATGGTCCGGGTCACAGGACCACAGTACCCTGAAGACTCTGGATAGAGAAGGAATACACTGAGAAGGGACCTGGCACTGGCCAGAGAGTAGTGTATAGAATATGGGAGCAGACACCAGAGGAGTTAAGAGCCCTTAACTCCCCAGTTCTCTCTGGTCTGTTTGCACAGAAATCCATGATGTTAGGTTCCAGCCTCCCACCAACGCATACCCCAGCATCTGAGGCCCCAGTCCACACCCTGGCCACAGGTGGGCCTTAGAGATGGCAACAATAGGGGAGACAGATTAAAAATAACACTCACTAGACTCCAAATACAGCTCCTGATCTAGAGGGTCCCCCTTCGCCCGACCAGGAGTCCTGGGGCTCTGAGTCCCGAGTTCAGTGTTTTCCTCATGCACCAGCTGCTGCAGGGTCTCAAGTTCTGAGATCATGTCAGGAGTCAGAAGGTTGGCTGCCTGCAGCAGGGAGTATTGTCTCTGGGCCAGGCGCAGCACCCGGAGGGCCAACCTGGAACAGAGGACAGAGGATTTGCATATAACTTATTTAGACCCAGTCTGACCAGGTGAGCACTGTCCCATCTCTCTCCTGCTTTGCCCCAGACTAGCTTCCTTGCTTTACCCTCCTCCTGGCCACAGGTCCTGCTTTGGCATACCCTTACCAAAGGCCAACACCACCACAGGTAATGGTGGGAGGTATCACTATTCCCTATGGCAAAGGCAGGGACCTGGGAAATAAGGAAAGGGTGCCAAGTGACCTTGGACTTGGGAGGTCTGAGTTCCTCCTCAGCTCTACCACTTAATAGTGCTGTGGTCGTTTTGGTCTCATGTAGCCCAGAGTGGCCCTGAACATGCTATGTAGCTGAGCATGTCCTCCAGTCCCCACCTACCAAGTGCTAGGATTACAATGTGTACTAGCACTCCTGGCTTAGTGCTGGCATCTTTAAAACTATTATCTTTACCGACGGGGTAAGACAATAGCTAAGAACCCAGATCTAATCAGTCCTGTTCAAATCAGTTCCACACGCCCCAGATGCAGGGTCTTCACTGCACTTGTTAACTCAGTCTCAACAACTCTAAAGTGGGGTGGTAACAAGCACCACTACAGCACAGGGCTACTGGGAACACTAACGAAGTTATTGATTTATTGGTTCTTTAAGGCAGGCTTTCTCTGGAACCTGCTTTATAGAACAGGCTGGTCTAGAACTCAAATATTCACCTACTGTGCCTCCAAAGGACTGGGATTAGAGGTTTGTTACTGTGATTGGAAACAGGATCTCACTGCATAACTCTTAACTGGCCAGGAACTCAGAGATCTGGCTGTCTGGCCTCCTTAGTTCTAGGACTAAAGGCATGAGCCACCATACCTGTTCTAAGTGACTTATTTTACACACATGCAGAATAGTTAAGAATGCTTATTATTTCTCTAAAATGGCATCTTCCTTGTTGGAATAAGGAGAGATTAAATAAGAGGCTATGTTGATTGTGGCTTTGAGAAGACCCTTGAAATGCATTTGGATATGGGTTTTCTAGCTAATGGTAGGGATCCTGAAAAAGTGTGAGAAAATCAACACACAGATCACATGCACCAGGGGACTATTTAAAGGAAATTCTGAGGGTAATGTGATTTTATTGATATTGTAAATTTAGATTCTCATAAAGCAAAATTTCTTCCTCTAAGGCACGCCTGTGATAAAAGAATAAACACAATTACCTTAGTAAGGATTAGTCATGGCAAAGGATCTATCCTCAGGTGACCACCTGTCTGGACTCTCTGAAGCCCTTCACTGGCCGCAATCAGAGTGTGCTCAGGAAACACAAACTCATTTGGCAAAACAGCCTTAAGGCCTTACTTTGTGAAAGCAGGCAGGACATTAATTAAGGAGGACACAGCGGAAACTCTGTATTTTTTTGAGCCATTATGAGGAAGATCTGAGCTTTATTTTGTTTTGTTTTTCAAGACAGGGTTTCTCTGTGTAGCCTTGAGTGTCCTGGATCTCTCTCTCTCTCTCTCTCTCTCTCTCTCTCTCTCTCTCTCTCTCTCTCTCTCTCTTCTTTTACATAAAAAAAAAAAACCACCCCCCCCATCTCTCTCTCTCTCTCTCTCTCTCTCTCTCTCTCTCTCTCTCTCTCTCTCTCTCTCTGATGTATTTATTTATTATGTATACAGTTCAATCTGCACACATGCCTGCACGCCAGAAGAGGGCATCAGATCTCATCACAGATGGTTGTGAGCCACCATGTAGCTACTGGGAATTGAACTCAGGACCTCTGGAAGAACAGTCGGTGCTCTTAATCTCTGAGCCATCTCTCTAGCCCAATCTGAACTGGGCAATCTGGGCAGTGGCAGTGGTGGTGCATGCCTTTAATCCCAGCATTGGGGAAGCAGAGGCAGGCAGATCTCTGTGAGTTCGAGACCAGCCTGGTCTACAAGAGCTAGTTCCAGGACAGTCTCCAAAGCCACAGAGAAACCCTACACCTCGAAACACCCCTCCTCCCCAAAAAATGAGTGGGCAATGGGAGAAATACATGGGCCTGGATGTCAGAGGACTTGGGTTGGGCTCTGTCCTTGCTCTGTGCCCTGGACAAAGGCTACAGCTCCACAGTTGACACATGGACAGTTGGGCTTTCTACTTAGGTTTCTATTTCTAGCACTTGTAGGACTGAAGAACTCTGTTTCATCTGTTCTGTGTATTACACCTCAGCATAAGATTTCTTAAGAAAGGCTTTTACACCTGGAGCCATGGCACCTGCCTTTAATCCCAGCATGGAGGTTGAAGCAGGTGAGCTTCGTGAGTTAAAATCAACTTAGTCTACATAGTGAGTTCCAGGACAGCCAGGGATATGTAAAGAGACCCTGACTCAAAACACCAAGAAACCAACCAATTACCCAACACATAAATAAAATAAAAAAGATTTTACAACAGAGAAAAAAAGTCTTGAAAAACTGAACTGGGAAAAACCTCTCAAATCTGTTCCATGCCCTGGTGGCTCAAGACTCTGAGTTCTAATCAACTCAAAGGGAAATTACTATTATCTGTTTGTCAGAGCTTTTCCAAATGCAAAGTACACCACTATGCTCTGCAGAAATAGATATTTGGGTCCTGTGTCATATTTTATTAGTATTTCATCTCAAAGAACTCAGAGAGCATAAGAATTATGATTTTCAAAAATCAGCCTAGATAGAAGTAACTTGTCAGAGGCCACAAAACCACAGGCAGAGCAAAAATGATGACCACTATAAAGTGGCCTCTCTTTATAACGGGGGACATCAAGCAGAAAGACACGAGTCATCCATGGGAGCCAGTAGTTAGGAGGCCAATGGGACACCTCACCTGCATACTCCTCAGGGCCCAGGGAGTTGGCAACATGAGACAGATAATGAGCCTTTGATTATTCAGGCTGCAGCATTTTTGCTGAGTCGGGAACAGACACTCCCCGACAAGAAATAAAATTAAGTAGGCCCTTCTGTCCAGAAGCTTTAAATACACTGCCTAGTGTGAACCGTGCAGGGGAGGGGAGAGTGGGGCTGACAGTAGCAAGGCTAAGTGGCAGGGTTTTGTATACTGGGGGCCATGTGAAAACTAGAGAAAAACCCTCTATGTGGCCCAGAAGAAATGATCCAAATATTTTTCTTTTTGGCTTGGGGTGGAGGATCTTACCTACTTCTGGAAAAAATAGCCACAATCTGTTGTCGAGGGTGCATAGGAAAATCTGACTCATGAAGGTTACCCACCTCTTCTGCCTGGGGCCCAGCTCCTCTTGGCTGTACAGGGAAAGCAGTGCTGCCCAGACTGGAAAGCTACCTGCCAGCACCCCCAGCAGCCTAACCTATCCTACCTCAGTTCTTGCTGTTTGTCTGGGAGGGAGAGAGGGGGAGAGAGAGAAATAGAGAGAGAGAGAGAGAGAGAGAGAGAGAGAGAGTGTGTGTGTGTGTGTGTGTGTGTGTGCTCAAGCTCGCACTCATGTATGCAACATAAGTGTGTGCAGGGGTGTTTTGCTTTTCTTGCCTGTTAGGTTGCCACCACTGAGGCAGAATAAAGAGTGATGAAGATAGAATTCATGATCACAGCAAGGGCTTGAAAGCAGCCATGCTACCCATGAGAAGGGACTTGAAGCTGGGCATGGTGGCTTATGCCATTAATCTCAGAACTAGGTAGGCAGAGGCAGGAGGATCTCTGAGTTTGAGGTCAGCCTGGTCTACAGAGTGAGTTTCAGGACAGCCAGGGCTACACAGAAAAGCTCTCAAAAAACCAAAATAAGAAAGGAAAAGGGACTTAACTGTCACCTAAGAATTGGAACTTCCATAACATTCTGAACATCGGCTCCCATCCCAGGAGGCTGACCTGTCACTCCCCACCTTGGACCTCACTGGAGATAAGACACCTACTGCTTAAAATGGTCCCTGTCCCATTTCTGTGGCGAGTGTTGGCTCATGACTAGCTTCGGCTGCAAAGTCAGACTAGGGGACTCTGGCAAGCTCGGCTCTGGCATCTGTATTGGAAATGAAGAAGGAGGAAGCATTAGTAGTAAGGCAAGGACGATCTCCTAAAATCCTTCCCCTGGGCTGCTGACATGGCTCAGCAGATAAGGGAGCTTGCCACTAAGCCTGATGACCTGGGTTCAATACCTGGGACCCATATGATGGGGAAGAGAACCAAATGTCACAAATTGTCCTCTGACTTATACTATGCACTATGGCATGAATACACACACACACACACACACACACACACACACACACACACACACACACACACACAAAGTAAATGTTCAAAAATAAATAATAGTCCTTCTTTCCCTTCTCCCAGCCACTTTCAAACACATAAGGACCTGGTAGATTCAAGACACTCGGGTGGAGAAAGGAGAGATGCCTTTACGCTATTCTACCGCCTGTCTTCTCAAGGCCCAGGCTTCATGTCCACAGGTCCTACCTGCTTGTCCTGTGGAGACTGTTCCTGATGGGAAACATTTCCTTCCACAACCATCTGTTTCTGAGCCTCTGTCTCCAGGCTCTCCTCTTGAAGGGTTCCACACTTTGCATGGAGTTCTGGGGTACAGGACTGGCTGGAGTGCCCAGGCTGTAATGGGGAGCTTGGAAGGCTAAGGAGGAAGTGAATTTTGAGAGGCTTAAGCTGGGGAGTAAGAGAGGGAAGCAGAATGTTTTAGTATCTGGTAGCAAAGCCCATCTGCAACACTTGAGTGACAAATAGGTAGCCATTGGGAGTGGGAGGTGTCAGAGATTTTCTGGTTAAAGGACAATGACACTCAATCCCTGCTGACCTTTCCCTGATGAGGAGCTGCTTTTATGGCCGGGTGTTAGTGCTTCATCTATATAACTATTAGTTGTTAGCTGCTGGGTGGGTCCCAGCTAGGAACTCCTCATTTTAGGTGCTAGAACATAAGACAAAGATTCCTAGCCCATGAAGTGGCAAGAAAGAAAGAAAGAAAGAAAGAAAGAAAGAAAGAAAGAAAGAAAGAAAACACAATGGGGCTCATTCCCTCTGCAGTTGATCTGAAGGGTGATGCAGGAAAGGGCAGCCAAACTCACTGTTGTGGTGTGCTCAACTTGGAGGACTGTGGAGAGCGCTGTTGCAGGGCCTGGGCCCCTGTCTCATACATCTGGAGCTTCTCCCTCAGGGCAGCCACCTGAAACAAACAGCCCAGTTCTCAGAGCCCCAAGCACTCACAAAAGCCAGGAGCGGCACAGAACCCCGGCAGGACCCCAAGCTTCTGTGTCTTGCTCCTAGATTGCTCCTCACCTCAGCCTGGAGCTGTTGGCAGATGGTAGCATACTGGCTGATGTGATGGTCCAGACTGATCACGTTGCTCTTCAGCTGAGTTGGGGGCACACAGAAGAGATCGTTTATTCAAACAAATGACAATAATCTCCATGACCTCAAGCTGGGTGGGAAGCCTCACTCATGTTAAACTCACTCTCCCAAGTCAGATAACGGAGCAGGGGTCTCCTGTAATAATATTAGTGCCTGGGACCACAGTAAAGGGAAGAGGATTGTGTGTGGCCTGAGCCCTGACTAACACCCTGGGCCAGGGAGCAGCCTGCTCTGTAGTAGCTCTGGGTAAGCAGGGTTCACTGCGGAGACAGGCAGGGGAGGCCAGACTTCCTCTGCTTTTGTCCTGAGTCAGTGTATAGGGTACTGATGGCACTTTATGGAAAATAGGGTTCTATTGCCTGTAGCAAATCTGAACATCCTGCCTCAGTGTAGCTGAGGTCTTCCTCAGGACAGAATGTTACTGCTTCTATCACTAAGACCATTCATGAGCACAGGAAACTGTCCTGTGCCTGGGAACAATGAAGAGGAATCCAAGAAGGCTATCTAGGGCTTGTCCCCACCTCCTCTCAGGTGGGGGCTCCCTCCATATGCAGGGCTCCCTCCTGGTACGCACCGTGAGTCTGATCTCCTTGGCACGGTCGGCATATTTGAGGGTGTTATAAGTATCCTCATAGGTGAGGCTGGAAGGGCTGATGGCAGCGATCATCACAGTGCGGCAGTTGCCCCCAATGGAGTCCTTGAGCAGGCGCGTCAGCTTGCTGTCTCGGTAGGGCACATGAGACTTGCGGCCCTGGGGAAGTAAGTGGGTAGCAGGGTTAGACTGCTCTGTGCTGGAGGAGGGAACACTAGCTCAGGTGCTCATTTGCTGGGCCCACTCTGCATTACCTTTGCATCGGCCAGGGCATTGAGGACATTGATGAGTGCTAACAGAGAGCGGTTGATGTTGGCACCCTCCCGTAGCCGCTCTCCTTTGGCATGGGTACTAGATGCCCGCTCTGAGCCAGCCAGGTCAATCAGGCTCATCTTAGCTACTTGAAGGGCCTGGGTCAGTCCTGGAACCCGGTCCTGCTGCTTTACAAAGATCTGGGGGCAGAGGGTAATAGTGAGAGGTGTAGACATCAGGACACCCAGTTTTAGTCTGAGCACATGACACTGCTTACCTGGAAGATGGCATGAGAGCGGGAAGATGTGGCGTTGGCATCCGTGGGGTGCTGTGTGCGGCTGCAGTTGCCTCTGGTCAGCATCTCTAGTAGCTGTGTGGCTGAGGCTGGCTATAGAGGAGATACCAAGAGAGGGGGCTGTGGTCTTACCACCAGGGCTTTTCTCCTGGCAGGAAAGGCTGCTCTTCAGAGCCTGTCACTTTCTATTGCTACTGCAGCTGCCGCCACCATCACCACAACCACCACAGCATCCAGGAGACTGCCAAACTGCCATTTTAGGGAGCCCCAGAGGACCAATGGAGTGGCTGCCACAGCTGAGGCCCAGCACATACCTGGTGGAAAGAAAGTCCCGGCACCACCACTCCCTTATCAGGGTCCTCACGGATGGTGAGGGGTCCTTTGGGCTCCAGGAGGTCATGAATCTGCTCATTATACACCTTAGGAAAAAGGACAAGAGGAAGAAACCTGAGGAAGAGCATCCTCCATGACAGCAATAGAGCACAGACTCAGGGGGCTCAGAGGGGACAGACAGACTTAGTTGAACTGGTGTTGAGACACCAGCCCCAAGAGTAGCACTTTGCAGGTTATGTCAGATGACAAGAGCAGGGAGGATAGGTTTTCTTTCCATAAGGCCTCTGACTGGGCTATATGTGTCCCCTGGAACTTCTTCCCCAGGTCCCACTCCAAGCCCTCTTCAGGTGTTCTGAGAATGAAGTATGATGTGGGCCAGAGAGGTAGCAGCCCTACCTCCAGGTAACTGATGAGGACCTCGAATTTTTTTTCTTCCTGGCGGGCTTCAAGACGCCTATATAGTTCCATGGTGGTTAGGTACATGATGCCAGGGTCTCCCTCCTTTCCCAGCATGGTGTGTGTCTTCCCAGCCCCAGTGGCTCCATAGGCAAACACTATAAAGGACAAAATGGGGGAAAAGGTGGCAGCTGGGAAAAATCTACCTCTCCGAGGGCTGTGTCAGCTTGTTTCTAGCCTTCCCAAGTCCCTTTCCCCTGCTGTGTATGACCACAGTTCCAAAGCCTCTACCGCGGGGATTCCCTCATTGCTCAAGTTCAGCCTGTGTTCTCCCAGGGCCTAAGATTCCAGGACAATAGGATCTGCACTGGAGTTGAGGACTAACCCTTCCTTCTCCAAGCTCAGGACATCTTCTGATGGAGGTCTTTCTCTTGCCATCACTCACCCGGGTTTATAGTGTACACGTACACAGACAGACAGACAGACAGACAGACAGACAGACAGACAGAGACAGACACACACACACACTCCCTGTAGTGTGTTATAAGCATCAAGAGTTCAAAACCATGTCTAATTGGTGATTACTATAGACGAGGACCCAGTGGAATGCATTGTATATAGTCAAGTGAATGAATGGACCCCAAGCAGAGATCAGAAGATCCACAGCACCCTTCTCTCAGACAGGAACAGATAGGCAAGCCCACTACCTGGCAGGCAGTTCTCACCTGAGCAGTTGTAGCCCTGGAGGAAGCTGTCAAGGATGCTGTGTGTAGTGTGCTGGAACACATCCTGTTGAGTGGCTGCCTCACCAAAGACCCGGTCAAAGACAAATGTCAGGTCTTTGCCCTTCTTCTTGGGGCCATTGTGGGAGCCAGTCCATTTTAGGCCAGAAAATCCCCCATCACACTCTTCGGGGTCAAACACCAGCATCCTCTCATCTACCACCTGAATCACAGGCCGGCGCTGACTCTCTAGCTCCCTAGGGGTGGGAGGCCTCACCCGCACGACCACCCGAACCACGCTGTCCTCCACAGTCATCACCATGGCAACACCTGTGCAGAGACATGACTGAGATGAGAATCACACCAATCAACAGTATGTTTCAAGATTGAAGGGCCTTTCCCACCTTCCAGTGACTGACTTTTGTCCCCCAAGAGGGCAAGACGTCAGTAGCAGTATCAATTATTATTATTATCATTATTAATATTTTTAGTTTTTGGAGAGAGGATTTCTCTGTGTAGCTTTGGCTATCCTGGAACTCACTCTGTAGCCCAGACTGGCCTCAAACTCACAGATATCCACTTGCCTCTGCCTCCCGAGTGCTGGGATCAAAGGTGTGTGCCAACACCCAGCTTAATTCCAGTACTTTCATTTTTCTTGGACTTGCCAAATAAATACTTATGTATTTGAGGATCCCCCCCACCATACACACACACCCTTTCCTCCATAATTTTTTTTTTTTTTTTTTTTGGTTTTTCGAGACAGGATTTCTCTGTGTAGCTTTGGCTATCCTGGAACTCACTCTCTAGACCAGGCTGGCCTTGAACTCACAGAGATCCACCTGCCTCTGCCTCTCGAGTGCTGAGATTAAAGGCTTGCACCACCAAAACCCAGCTTCCTTTTCTCCATACTTAAACCAACTTTTTTTCTAATTTTAAAATAAAATTTTAAAATTTTATTTTGCATGTATGATTGTGTGTGTGCCCACGAGCGCGTGTTCACATATGTGAGTACAGGCATGTGTGTAGAGGTTAGAGAACACCTTGCCTTCACCTTGTACAGCAAGCACCTTTACCGGCTAAGCCATTTCTCCAGCCCATTCTACCATGTTAAGTAGTTGTTGTCAGAAAGATACAGAGCTTTAGCACCTTTTGACCATATTTTTGTGTCTTCTCTCCCTGGGGTACATTATTGCTGTTACTGATATCAAAGCAACCATGTATTCCTAGGGGAAAACCTGCCATAAATGTAGCAAACTTGTAACATTTTTGTTTGTTTGTGTTGAGTCAGGGTTCCATGTAGCTCAGGCTAGCTTTGAACTTGCTAGGTAGCAGAGGATGAGCTTGAAGGATCCTCTTGCCTCCATCTCCAAGTGCTAGGATTTACAGTTGTGTGCACTATACCCAGTAAGGACAGACTATTATAGTCAGCAATTTTCAGGTGCTGCCCCGCACCCCACCCCTGCTTTATGTAATCATCTTTTATTTTATTGTATTTTTTTGAGATAGGGTCTCATGTAGCCCTGCTAGCTTTTTAACAATGTAGCTGAGGCTAGCCTTGAACTCTTGGTCTTCCTGCCTCTACTTCCCAAGTGCTAGGATTGATTATAGGAATACATCACCATTCCTGGCTTACCTTTATTTTCAAATGGTCGAATGAATATGTCTATGCTTTCCTTTTATGGCTTTTATACTACCCATGCTGACCCTGAATCCAGTATGTTCAGGACGATCCTGAACCCTGATCCTTCTGCCTCTACTTCCTGAATGGTGGAATTACAGGTGCGTACCACCATGCCCAGTGGTTTTTTTTTTTTTTTTTTTTTAATGACTTCTATGTCATTTTTTAAAAAATACTTACTATTTTATGTACATCCATGTTTTGCCTGCAGGTATGTCTGTAGGAGGGGAGGGCACCAGATCCCCCCTACAGGAGAAGCAGGAGTTACAGACAGGGTTGAGCTGCCATGTGGGTACTGGGAATTGAACCCAGGTCCTCTGCAAGAGCAGCCAGTGCTCTTAACCACTGAGTTACCTCTCCAGCCCCTCTTCTATATCATCTTTAAGAAGACTTTTTTTTTTTCCTGGACCTCGGAGGCAGAAGCAGAGGCAGGAGAGTCAATCTCTGTGAGTTAGAGCTCAAACTGGTCTATACACTGAGTTCCAGAGCAGCCCTCTTCTTCAGAAGCAACAAATGCTTTTCTTACACTCCTGTCCAATACCTTCCTTTCTTACATTTTGTTCTTTATGGAGATAAAATTGTTGTGAATAGTGAAGGAGTTTTATAAATACCTTTCTTTCTAACTGGCAGGAACATTTATTGAAGACAATTTCTTTCCCACCTATTTCAAACACAACTAATTTTTTATAGAGACCTGCACTTATTTTTCCGGCACACCGCTGTCACAGCTCCTCTGTGATGTGCCACTTCTTGCACTTTTTCTTGGTTATTCCTGGACAGCTTTCCTTGCATATGATTTTAGAATTATCTTGTGAAGCTCCATGAAGAAAATCCTGCTAAGATTTTAATTTGGATTATTTTCAATTTACAGGTTAATATGAGAAGACTTGGTATCTTGATGATACGGAAGCTTCCCACCTAGGAACTGCTGTCTCTTTCCATGCTTTCACAACTTTATAATCTTCAGTAAAATTTCATAATTTTCCTCTCGTGAGTATCGTACATTCTTGTTTTGGTTTATTACTAGTTATTACACAGTCTTTGTTATATTGTGAATAGACGCCTTTTAAAATTGCATTTTCAAAACCATATTTTGCCGGAATATAGGAAAGCTTTGGATATCTGGATGCATCTGCCCAGAACACCAAATGTTTGTATTAGTTCTAATAGACTGTCACCGACTCTCTTAGGCCTTTCAATTACACGGTAATATAGTTTGCAAATAATGACAGTTGCTTTCTATTTTCAGCTCTTTTTTATTAGGCTGCCTACTCTCCACTGCCCATTAGGGATGTAGGAGTGGGTACTGTTGAGATGACTTCACTGTATCCCACCCGGAATCTGTTGGCGCAGAGGGGTACTACAACAGATTTCCCAATGTTGATCTGGTAATAATTCCAGAGGTTTCCAGCCTGCAATCATTTGGTGTTCCTTCATACCTCTGTGCCTGCCTCTTCATTTCTCCTTGGAGCAGACTACCAAAGGTGGGGGTGGAACTTTGGGGATGCAGGCAAAAGTCAGTTTAGCCCAGCTCTAGGGACATATTAACATGGAGAAGTAATGGGGCTGTTCCTGAAGGATATGAACAGATAATACTTTCCCAATAAAGGTTATATCTGCTGGTCAGTCATAATGAAGGCCATTCAGCAAAGTAGGGCTTCTGCTGAATATTCTGGCCAACATCTCAGGGTTTTCTTGGGGAATGAGGTAGAACTGAGATGATTTGAAACTCCTGTTCCTTCACCCCTAAACTTAACTCCTTCCCAGCACCAAATAAGGCAAAGATATCACCCAACAATAATCCTTTTATGTGTGTATAATTCAGTTTTCATCCCAGCAATAGATTGTCATAATAAACATATTAGCAAACTGCTCACTCTATCAAGCTCTGTTCAGAGCAGCATGCACACATCGTCTCCTTGTATCTCCACTGCAATCCCCCAAGATGGATAGGATTATTACACTCATTTTTCAGTGAGGAATTGAGACAGAGAGGGTTAAGCAACTTGCCCAAGGTTCCAATACTAGTGAGTGATGGAGGCCCAGTTCCAACCCAGGCAGTCTGACCGCAGAGTCTGCTATCCTGTCTGATAATGATATTATATATTATGCTCTGATGATCACATGGTTTTAATAGTCCCTTATGTTTGTATAATAATTGTAACCCCTTTTATGGGACTAGATTATGTGCTCTGAAAGCACTTGCAGATGTACGGACTACACCTAATTTTCACCACCAGAGTTCCTTTTTCTTGTCTTTACATTCACATCCCCTGGAGACCTGCTTCTCTGTGGGAGAAGTAAAGGCAGAGCATGCCTAGGTCTACACTGGCTGCCTCCCTGGCACTTCCAGAGGCCCATGGGGAGGGTTCTGGCTGAGGAGGAGCCGCAAAGCAGCCTAACAGTCTAAGCAGGAAATTAAAAAGGGCACTGGCAAAGAGTGTGTATAACCTTTACAGCTCTCTCCTCCCGCCTCCCGAGGGCCAGAGGGGCCAGTCTGTTTGCCTAATGAGATATTTTCTCTTCCCAAGACAGTGCTAGGGGCACCAGGTGCAGAAGGTAGGGTAACACTTGCCATGGGTGCCCCAAGGACACCGGGTCCTGGTCTGTGTTCTGCATCTGACTAGTGGGGTGGTCTTTCCGAGAGCCACACCGCCATCAATGTCACATCAGCTTCCTGATTTGAGAGCCAGTGAGAACAGCTACCAATCTGCTCCTACCCTAGGGGGATGGGGAGATTAATGAGAGAACGTTTGTCAAGTTTGCTTTGATCCTCGCTTGGAAAGAGCATTTCAGCCCAAAGTACAAGGGAGATGATTCTTTAATAAGATCTTCAGGGTTCTCAGGCAGGCACACTCAAGTCCTATTTCTAACCCTGGGCAGCTCATTAAAACCCAGAGGCTAGCGTGCTGCTGAGCTGGGGCTGGGAAATCAAGATTCTGATGTTTTAGGGGTGGCTTCTTTTGCCCACCCTTGTAGGGATCAGCTCAACCTCTGAAGGCTCTAGAGGAGAAATTCTGCAGGCTTAAGGAGATCCCCCTGCAGACAATGGGATCTGAGAAGGAGGGAATGAAGGAATACATCCCTCTGACACGGCTGTTACAGAAACAGCTACAGCTGCTTCACTGGTTTGTATCATTCCTCGTACACTGTGTCTTGTCTCACCCACGAACCCCAGGTATTTGGGGACCTGTCCCAGCATTCAGTAGGTGCTGAATAATACTTGTCCCGTGAATGAATAAGGGATAGAGAAAAACAGATTCTCAACCCCAAAACCTTAGTAAGTATTATAGTTGGCATTTACGGAGTGTTTCACTGAGTGTGCCTGCATGCTAAGCACTCTAAGCTAAGCTCACTCAGAGGCACTGCTCCATCCTTACACACTAATTCTGCCCTGTGGTCAATTTACTAAGTTTTTCTTTTTCTTTTTGGTCCCACTTCTGGGCTCTGTATGTCCCTCACCTTGGTATCAGTATGCTATGCATGGCTTGATTTTTAAATAGAAAATCATAGGCTATTCTTTTTCTATCCAGGTCTGAGTGTTGCACACACCAGGCAAATGCCCTAGTGCTGAGGTGTTTAATAGTTCTGTCTGTTCCTTTAGTTTGTCATTTTCCATGGTCTGGATATACAGCTCAGTTTAGCCTGACATTAAGATCCTCCCAAATGCTGGGGCTATAAGCACATGCCACCATGTCTCCTTTGCTTATTCCTTCCTATCTTACAGATGGTGATTTAGTTTTCTTGTCTTACAGTTCTGGCTAGGAATTCTATTATGATATTGAGCAGCGGCAGCAGCAATTGTGAGCATTCATCTTTCCTCATTTTATAGGGAATGCTCTCGTTATTTCATACTTTGTTAGTTAAGGGTATTTGTTTCCATTTCTGGTTTACCCCCACATATGCACACACACACTGGATGTGGGCAGTGCTGAGGATTGAACTTAGGACCTTGACATGCTGGCTGCTGACTCCTGATGTTTTATTTGAAGTTTTAACAACTACACTTTTTTATGTACTTGTGATTTTAATCATGTTCAACAATAAAATCTAGAATCTTAAGATAGAATGAAAATGTTTGCTTTTCTAATTGACTGTAAATACCTGGGAATTCAGTGGGGGTTTTTCATTTGTGTGAAGGTAAATTTTAAACTAGTTTAATCTCCTCATTGGATTAGATCAATTAAGAATTTCTATAACTTCTATTTGGGAAGGAATGGGGTGGAGTGCTGAGAACCGAACTGAACTAAACTCGGGTCTTAGTACATGCTAGGCAAGCATTTGCCACTAAATCACATCCCCGACAATATGCTAGCTATCTTTTCATTGTAATTGTGATGTTCTATTTAACTGAGGTCAGTGTGGTTTTGGTTGTGAGCCTAGCCTTTAACGGCTGGGCCATCTCTCCAGTCTCAGTGTGTTTTTTAAGTTCCCAAATGTGAATTTTTTTTCATTTGTATTTATTTGTTTGTTTGTTTTTTGGGGGGTGTGTTTTGAAAGAGTCTCACTATGACTGGCCTTAAACTCGGAGATCTCCTCTGACACATCTTAGGTGCTGGGATTATAGTTACACATCTCAGGTGCCGGAATTACAGAAGTGTTTTACTATGCCTAGCTTGTGTATTTATAATTTAACTGCTTGTGGAGAGAGAATGCAGTTTATATAATATTATAATTACTCACAGTTGCTTTGTCACCAGATAGAGAAAAGCTTTACAAATGTCTCTAACAATATGCTACTTTTTAAAAATTTATTATGTATACAGTGTTTTGTCCGCATGTATCCCTACACACCAGAAGAGGGCACCACATCTCATTACAGATGGGTCTGAGCCATCACCTGGTTGCTGGGAATTGAACTCAGGACCTCTAGAACAGCAGACAGTTCACTTAACCTCTGAGCCATCCCTCCAGCCCAGTTTTGTTTTTTGAGACAGGATTTCTCTGTGTAGCTTTGGAGGCCGTCCTGGAACTCCCTCTGTAGACCAGGCCTGCCTCTGCCTCACCAGTTCTGGGACTAAGACGTGAGCCATCAACACCCGGCCAATACTGCTACTTTTAAACTTTCTTTAAACGGTACTTGGGCTGGGAATATAGCTCCTTCGTAGTGCTGGTGGTCTTGGGTTTGACCCCTAGACCGTAAGAAGGAAAAATGTACAAATGGAGCTGAATTAGACAAACAAAAAAACAAAACAAACAAACAAAAAAACCACCTAACTGAGAATGGGGCCTGGGGCCGGGGCGGTGTTGGCACACACCTTTAGTCCCAGCACTGGGGAGGCAGAGGCAGGAGGATCTCAGTGAGTTCACAACAACCAGGACTGTTACACAGAGAAACTGTTTCGAAAAACAAAACAAACCTGCCTGGGTGTGGATCGGGTTCAATAATAAAATAGAGAAGAAATGGGTGGGGAGATTGAGGGAAATGGTGTTAACACCGAAAAGCTCATTCAGAAAAAATAAAATTAAAGATCTTCTCCCAAGTCGGACTTAACCACTCTATGCTTCGGTTTCTCAACATGCAAACTGCAAGTAATACTATTATCTCTCTCCTCGCGTTATTATTGTTAGGCTGGAACAAGCTCGTTCCAACCTGAAGCTGAGTTCATTTAAGCGCCCAACAAATATTAGACATTGCTGGTAAAGCTATATGATACAGCATTTCCCCGTGATGCACAGAACCAATTAGGTCCGGTAAACTATTTTAAGTCCTTTGGAGCAGACCAGGCTCTACCTTTTAAATGTCACGTCAGTAGCTCAAATGTTCAAAGATTTAAAAAAAAAAAAAAATCGATCTTCCTGGTATAACCCAGACCTGGTATGCAGCACCGCCCACCCCCCCGCCCACCTTGTCCCCACCCGGCACACGGCTGTGTGATCCACTCTTTAGACGAGGCGAGTAGAGACGAGCGAGCTAACCATGCTCTTCCGCAGGCCGTCCCGGCTCTCCAGTTGTAACAGTTCAAAAACTCATTTCCACCTCACACTCGAGGCGGGGGAGCTGCTACCGAGCGGGGTGCGCCTTTCAAAGGGCCGGTAGACACGGGAGGGCCGGACACGGGTCCCGGGCCGCGGACACGGGCGCGATCTGAGGTACACTGGCGTAAAGGAAGTGCCCTCCCTCTCGTCCCTGTCTTTCCCAAACGCTCTGGCTCAGGGCCCAGCCCGCGGCCGCCGGGCCGGCGCGTCCGAGACCTCCCTCCCGAGCCCGCGGGGCCGTCCCCACCGAGGGCCCAAGCCTACCTTTCGTCGGTTCCCGCCGCTGATGTCTCGGGTCGCTCAGGCGTGCCCACACCACAGACGGGAGCCCCCGGACTCGGGACGGAGACGCCCCGCACCCTCTCCCACCGCACCCACCTTCTTCCGGCGCGGCGCGTTCAAATCAGCCGGTCCGCTCATCCGCGCTTCCCATTGGTCGCCGTCGCGCTCGCTGATTGGCTGTTTCCTAAGTAACAAAGACAGCCCGAGGTGCGCCTGCGCACTTGCGGTCTTCCTTGCTGGAGGTTCTTTGGCAGAGACTCGGCCGGCCACAGTTGCCGCCAGAAAGCAGTCCCTAGCTGTGAAACGAGGGGCCCCGCCCCGTCTCTGTCGTCTGTGTGCTGAACTCAGCATCAGTTATCACAGCGACCACACATTCAATAGGATTTTAAGTCTGCTTCTGTGGCCTAAACGGGCCCCCTCCTATCCGTAGAGGCGCGTTCCTTTAATGTCGTCACTCAAGGTGGGCGGATCTGTGTCGAGTTCGAAGACAGCCTGGACTGCATAGCAAGTTCAGGCCAGCCAGGGCTAGAAAATGAAGCCCTCTACTTGCTATTTTCAGTAAACTTAGTTTGTTCCCTCTGTGGCGTTGTGTGTAGGTCTGGGGCATATAAGGAAGGTAAACATTTCCTCCACCACAGCTGTCAACAGGTTAGTTAGCAGTCATTATTTAATACCTGGTTGACTTGATCCAAACTTTTTTTTAAAAAAAGATTTTATTTATTTATTTATTTATTATGTGTACAACATTCTGCTTCCATGTATATCTGCACAGCAGAAAAGGGCACCAGATCTCATAACGGATGGCTGTGAGCCACCATGTGGTTGCTGGGAATTGAACTCAGGACCTCTGGAGGAGCAGTCAGTGCTCTTAACCTCTGAGCCATCTCTCCAGCCCCGACCGAAACTATTTTTTAATTTAAAAAAATTATTTTTCATTTTACATTCCAACCCCAAGTCCTCCTCCTTCCCTCCCTCCCCTTCTCTCGCCCCCCTCCTCTGCCTCCCAGACCCAAACTCTCTATTCACCTCTCTGGATCCAAAATGATAGAACAGCACTTAGCTTAGTGAGGACAAAACAAGAAAATTGAGTGAAGGTACAGTTACAGGTACAAAGCAACAAGAACACTGGATGCTCTTGCCTTCTCCAACTCCAAAAGGAATCGGTTGTTTGAGGATAGCTTTCTGGTTAAGGGTGCCCTCCCCTCTTACAGTGATTTGTCTGTGTAGAGGTGTGAGGTATAATGGAAGGTTTAGGACCTTCAAGAAGAAGCACCAAGTCTGGCACTTTTTTTTTCTTCCCCTCATCCCCATCCTGCAGAGCTGAGGACCAAATCCAGGGCCTTATTGCTACCACTGAACTAAATCTTCAACCCCATAAGTAAAAAAGTTAAAAAGACATAATGTGAGCAAGACATCTTGTAGACGTTCAGCAAAATGGCACTAGGTGTCTTCATATTCATTCATTCACCAACTGTTAGGACAGCCAGGGATACAGGGGTGACAGCCAGGGATAAGTGATACTTGGAGCTCACAATCTACAGGCAAATTAGATATTTATCAGGGACGGGAACTGTGGTACATAGTAAGGCAGAAAAAAGGGAATGTTTCAAGTTCAAAGCCAGCTTCATAGACGTAGTAAGTGCTAGCCCAGCTTGAACTATCGAGTAAGCCCCTGGGAAGGGGTGTGGGTGGGGAAGGAGGAGGAAGATGTGGGGGAGGAGAATTAAGCTAACTAACAATACCGTAAGATAATATAGGCTATAGTAAGAACATACTGAGGCAATAATGGCTATGTTAGCTGAGATGTAAAAGATGGGAGAATAGTCTGTCAAAGCCTGTTTCTTAGATCTCAGAAGCCAAGATAAGAGACTTTTGTTTTGTTTTTTGGTTTTGCTTTGGTTTTGTTTTGTTGTTGTTGTTGAGGTCAGATGGCCTACAGTTAGCCTGGTTCAGTGGCTAAGAGCACTTACCACTCTTCTAGAGGACCTGAGTTGGGTTCCCAACACTCATATTGGAGAGCTCACAACTGTCAGCTCCAGGGCATCTGACACCCTCTTCTGGTCTCTACAAGTACCATATGCATGCAAACACCCACTCATAGACAAACACATGTACACATAATTTTATAAAAATCCTTAAAAAGAATTTCAGCTGGGCAAGGTGGTAAATGCCTTTAATCGCAGCACTCATGGAGGCAGAGAGGCAGACAGATCTTTGTGAGGTCAGCCTATCCTACAGAGCTACTTCCAGGACAGTCAGAACTGCCCAAGAAACCTTGTCTCGAACCATGCTCCTGCCCCCCAAAAAGAATTTCAGCTGGGCATGGTAGTACATGCCTTTAATCCCAGCACTCGGGAGGCAGGAGGATCTCTGTGAGTTAGAGGCCAGACTGGTCTACATATTGAGCTCCAAGATAGTCAGGATAACATATACCCTGTCTCGAAAAAACAAAACACATGAATTTTAAGGCTCAGGGTTGAACATGGAGTTTAGTGGTAGAGGGCTTGTCTAGCAAATAGGAAGCCATGTGTTTGATCCCCAACACTGTAAAATATATGTGTGTAAACCCAAACTCAAGGCAGGGCTGGCTTGTGGTTCAGTGGTAAAAGCTGCTAAATTGATGGTTGGAATTTAATCCCTAGAATTCACATGGTGGAAGAAAGAATTAACATTCTCAGGTTGTCTATGGCTTCCATATGCCTGTTGTGGTGTGCATAAATAAATGTGGAACAATACACAGTGAATAAATAAATATAGAAAAAATACCCTCAAGACATAGATGCTAACCTGTGTGGTTTTAGCTCTGTTGTCTGTGCAGACGAGAAGTGCTTTTAGCTGGTGTGGTCGACATCTTGTGGGGTGAACATACACCTTACTCTCTGTGACTGCTGAAACAGCCTGCCAGAGGTGGGTAGGGGATGTAGATGAGAAGAGCATCTGCACATTCTTTTCTTATTTTAATTCCAGGATCAAAACCAGGACCTTGTTCATGCCAGGCAGACACTGTACAACTGACCATAACCCTTTTCTGTTGAATTTATACACCCTTCGAGCCAAGGTCTGACATTAGAAATAGACTAATTGGGGGTCAGAGGCTATAGAAATACTGGCTAATCGATCCGGGAGTTGGTGGCGCAGGGCCGGGCGTTGGTGGCACACGCCTTTAATCCCAGCAGTTGGGAGGCAGAGGCAGGCTGATCTCTGTGAGTTCGAGGCCAGCCTGGTCTCCAGAGCGAGTGCCAGGATAGGCTCCAAAGCTACACAGAGAAACTCTGTCTCGAAAAACCAAAAAAAGAAAAAAGAAAAAAAGAAAAAAAGAAATACTGGCTAGTCTTCCAGAGAACCCAGATTCAATTCCCAGCACTCATATGGCCACTCACCATGGTCTGTCATCCTCTTCTGGCCTCTAGACACCAGGCATGCATTTGGTACACAGACATCCATGCAGACAAACACTCATACACATAATAAATAAATAAATAAATAAATAAATAAATGATTTTTTAAAAAAGAAAGGTCCTTGAGAAGTGTCCTTGAATCAAGCCCATCATGCTATTATCCATTCATCTATTTATTAATAATCCTGAGAATGAAGCCCAGATTCTAACACACACTACAGCAAATGCTCTCCCATTGAGCTGTAGCCCTAGCCCTCCATTTTGTTTTTATTTATTTAATTTTATTTTTTATTTACTTATTTGTTTACTTTTTGGAGACAGAGTTTCTCTGTATAGCTTTATAGACCAGGCTGGCCTAGAACTCACAGAGATCTGCCCGCCTCTGCCTCACGAGTTCTGGGATCAAAGATGTGAACCACCACTGCCTGGCCTCGCCCTCTGTTTTAATTTTTATTTTGAGACAGGGTCTCACTGAGTTGCTCGAGCTGTGCTTGAACACATTATCCTCTTGCCTCAGCTTGACAAGTAGCTGGGCTTACAGGCTGTGCCATCAGGCCTAGCTTTAAGACATCATTCTTGACATCGTAACCTAATACAGAAGCCAAGCACGATGAGGGCTCCCAAGTCCATTTGCTTTATCATGGAGGGGTTGAGTGGACTTGACTTGGGCAGTTTCAGAGGAGTGGCAGCCTCTAGATCAGGATGAGACAGGAAAGTAGTAAGCACTCTTTGAGGATATTTATTCTCAAGTGGAACAGAGAGGATGGGGTCGAAGGAGGCCTTTTACATATTAGAAAAACTTAAACGATGATGGGAAGGAGGCAATGAAAGTATGAGAAGTTGAAGATTAATACAAAAAATGAGGCTATCAGGGTTGAGAAGATGGCTTGGTCAGTAAAGTGCTTGCCATGCAAGCATGAATCCAAGTTCCATTCCCAGCACTCATGTACAAAGATGAGCATGGTGGCATGCACTTGTAATCCCACTGCCGGAGAAGTAGGAACAGGTGGATCCTGGAAGCTCGTGGGCCAGTTATCCTAGCCTAATAAGAAATTCCCAGGCCCCAGTGAGCAACTATGTCTCAAAAACAACAACAACAAAAAAAATCCCACCAAAGTAGGAGCCAGGTGTGGTAGTATGCGCCTTTAACGCATAATTGCCAGCACTTAGGAGGCAGAGGTGGGTCTCTGTGAGTTCTCTGCCAGCTTAGTCTACATAGAGAGTTCTAAGCCAGCCAGGGCTGCACAGTGAAACCCTGTCTCAAAAAAATTATTCTTTTTGTAAAAGATCAGAGGCAAGTGTTACAGGTTGAGAACTCTGCAGAGTAGGTTCCAGGGAGCAGATCAGTGTGTCACAAGTTTTTGTTTATTTGTTTTCTTGTTTCAGAGACATTGCTGTGAGAATTAACACCTGTGGGAGAGAATGTGCAGGATAGAGCAAAGGGAGAAATTGTGCTGAGCTCTCTGAAGCTAGGAGGATACTTTAGAGTGGTCCTTTGCAGGGAGCCAAGGCCTCAAAGCCCTTAACAAAATCAGTTGTGGGAGCGAGTTATGAAGAGAAGAGGATAAGACAAGCAAGCAAGGCACTCACATTGGCAGAGGTGAATCCCCCAGGAGAGGGATTTTGAGGCAGCTGAATGTGATCTGCTGGCAGCACTTCCAGCAGTCAGTGGAACAGATCCTTCTACCCTGAAGGACACCTAAGTGATGTCTCGAGGTGCCCATCCGG